GACAGGGTTTTACAGGACCCGATAAATATCTCTATTCCCCCTGGGAGGCACACAGGGGAGTCAGGCTGAGGGAGCTGGGAACGCCACAGTACTTCCTGATAATGCTAGATCACAAGTGCTAAATTGAACAGGCGGTCAGTGCTCTATCTCTAAACCAAACAGACCAAATCCAGCCATGGTCCCCAACACTACTGAGTCCTGCTGCAGGCCTGTGGGGGCGAACCTGACCATGCTTCCCTTCTCTTAACTAAGCATGTGCAGTTCCTCCACCCAAACCTGCCCACCAGGTAAGCCCCTCTGCCTCCCCTGGAGACAGTGAATGAGACAAGAAGCCGAGAGGAATCTCAACTAAGTAGGACAAAAACAATCCAAATGAACACATGTGGATTTGTATGCACACGTTCGTGCATGATTTTATAAGCAGCATAGTGAAAAATACGGAAGGACACCAGGTAGATAGTTCACGGGATTACCTGGTTTGGGAGGTGGTGGCCAGGGTGTGATATGGAGGGAGGCAGAAGAGAGTGGGGAGATAAGCAAAACAGGAAAAAAAAAAACCCAATCACTGAAAAAACAGTACTTATGATGTGGTCACATTAAGGCATGTATTTTATACATATTGCATTATAGAATGATATTGAAAATACATAAACCTGTATGGCACGGCTAATACTGAGGCAGAATCCCTAGAATTCCCTCTGTAGAGTCAGGTGTTAACCTGAATTGTGGGATAGCCCCAAAGGTACTGGGAGAGGGGCTGGGAGGCCAGGGGGGCAGGATGGGTGCTGAGGGGAGGGTAGTGGCACTAGGGAGACTCAAGACAGCAGCCATTTGCAAAACCAATCCATAAGTGCGTCAATCTTTTGACAATACATGCAGCTCTATCAGTGCACTCCAGTTGAATAACATACTTAACTTACTCATAAGTGAAGATCAAATTCTTAAAATCTAACAGGCAAATTTTCTTTCTGTACTAATGTAATTATTTTAGGTGGGAACAGGCAGAACCCATATGAAGAAAACCTCTCAGTTCTGGGTGGCGGAGGATCCACTTCAAAGGCTCACTTTAATGAAAGTTGGTGCTTGGATGCTGGCTGGACACTTTGCCAGGGCTGTGGATTGGGCCCTTGGTTCCTCTCCACACAGGCCTCTCCTTGGGCTGCTTGTACTTCCTTACAGCACTGTGGTTGGGTTCCAAAAGCAAGAGTTCCAAGAGATCCAGGAGATTTAATATTGCCTTTTATAATCCAAGAGTCACACAGTGTCACTTTCATTATAGTCTATCTGGCAGGGCTGTCTCAAGGGCTCACCCAGGTTTAAGGGGAGAGGACACAGACTCCACCTCTCCATGGGAGGAGAGTCAAGGTCATACTGTTGAGAAGGCCATGTGGCAAAGGAAATATGGGAACAAATACAATCTGCACAACACATCGCTGCAACAATGGTAACATCCATAGTTCACGCTGGCATGGGCCCCAAAGGTCTCTGCTATTTCCATGATGCCACATTTAAGGCACAGATTAGCTGGTATAACTGAAAGATTGGAGGAAGGGTAGGAAAAATTAAAAATTATAGTCAACCAAAAGAAGAAATAAAGCTAATATTTATTAAGCTCTTAATAATGTGGCAGGCTTTGTGCTAGGCACTTCTCATAAGATATCTTTATTAAATCTTCACCACATCTGTGTGAGGTAATACTATTATAACCATTTCACAGATGAGAAAATTAAGGCAGAAGTATTTAGCAACCTGTCCAAAGTTACACAACTGGTAACCGGTAGAGCCAGGATGGCAACACTGATGTGTTTGACTTTAAAGAATGTGTTCTTTCCACTATATCTCAAAGTGTAGAACATAAGCACAATCTGAAAAATGTTCCTATTTTGTTTCCATGACACAATTTCTTCTATATCCTCTAATACATATATAAAAAAAAAATCTTTTTTTTAAAAAAAATTTTACTTCTCAAAAGAGCAAAATATTGCAAATGATAGAAATGTCTAAATGGACACATCCCCTCCCCCAAATAACCAACAAAGTCTTCTCAAGGAGCACATTAGACATCTCCCTTCTTATAATAAGCCCAAATTATTATTCGTCAATGCTCATGTATGAATTACTATATGGAGGATCAGCTAAGAATCTCTAACTAATTATTAAGTCCAAGATTGCAAGTTAATGTAAATTGTAAGATACAAATTAGAGGAATTCAGTATGAAAATTTATTAAGTACAAAAAGAGATTTGTAAACTGTGAAGGAAACACAAATGAAGTCCCAAGAATTTTTGCATAAAGTTACTTTTCAGAAATGTATTATCATTAAATATGCCATAGGAACTCCCTGTTTAAAGAAAAAGAAAATTTCTGTTGTTGCAGCAGATATTTCCCTACAGTTGGGCAAAGATAATGGAGTGCACAATTAGAAACCCCCCTGAGCAGTTTATGGAGCACACAAACCCAATCAATAACTAGGTGTGTTTAATCTGGGCACAGGAACCTTGGTCGCAATGATCAGGGAGGTTTTCACCCAGATATCTATGTACAATAAGATCTAGAGTTGGTGATGGAAGGAATGAAGACCTGTTTTACTTGGTGCTAAATACAATCACCCAAAGGAGTGACTGTTAACAGACTGCAAGAATTATGCATATTGTACCTTACCATTAATGTAAGCATAAATGTGACTTAACATAATACAATATGCCATCAATATATACAACTACAGGGAGGCTTTTGGCACAAATTTGGAAATAATTGTTCATAATAGAGACATGCTAAGTCACCTGTAGGAGACAGAATAGTTTCCAGGCTGGTAGAACTCTGTAGTGATTTGGTATTTAAAAACTATTGTGTCCATTGGAGTTTAAGCAGCATTAGAACCATCCAATGGCTGCTCAGAAGAAAGAAGCCTTAGTTGGGCTTTTCAATTGGTCTAGTCCTATTTATTCACTCACTTATTCAGTGAACTTTGAGTACCTGCTATGTGAGGCACCATCCTACATGTTGGAGATGTGGAAGTGAGTAAGTCAAAATCCTCATGGTGTTTTCATTCTGGTGTGGAAGGCAGTCAATAATAATAATAATAATAATGAACCCACTAATGATATCAGGCTTGTGCTTCAAAAGAGCTTATAGAGAGCGAAGGAGGCGGGTCATGGGAGGGGAATAAGGTATTATCTTAAATTGGGTGGTCAAGGAGGCATCTCTAAGGACATGATATTAAAGCAGAGATACTTGAATGAAGAAGAGAGTCACATGAATATCAGAGGGGAAGAGTCCTAAGCAGATGGAAGAGGAAGTGGAAAGTTCAGAGGCTGGAATAAACTTGTGCGACCAGGGAACGGGGGTGAGGCCAGAGGCCAGTGTAGCACTTATTAGTGCTATTTGCCAAATGTTCTGGTTCTCTCCTTCCAGGCACAAGGTAGGATTGCACTATCTGGACTTTCTATGGATGGGTAAGACCATGTGACTAAATCTGGACTGTGAGTTATGCACAGAAATAACACGTGCCATTTATGGACAAAGCCAAGGCAAGACCCTCTAGAGCTCTTTTCCTCCCTCTGGTATGATGATGATTGCTAATGCTCCAGAGAGTGGCTGCTCTTTGTCATCCTAGATCTAGCAGTGAGGAAGAAAACATTCTGGGAGCAGTCATCAGCTGGCTCCTAAGAGACATGCAATATGAGCAAGAAATATTTGTATTGTTTTAAGCCTCTGAGTTTGGGGGTTGTTATCTCAGTATGGCATAATCTATCCTGATTGATAGTGCAACTGGTTGGGAGAGAGCTAGAGGGAGAGTGGTAGAAGATGAGATCTAAAGGATCTGCGGAGGCCAGATCGTGCAGAGCCTTGTAGTGTAATTTTGGATTTCATTCTGTGTGAAAAAAAATCAATCTTGAAGAACGTTGAGCTGGGGAATGACAGGATATGATTTACCTTTCCAAAGGATCACTTAATCACGTAGGGGAAAGTCCTTGTTCATAGCAAATACACACAGACGCACTGAGGGATAAAGTATAACATCTACAACTTATTTTCAAATGGTTCAGTAAAATGTATTTGTATGTGCATGCGTGTACATGCACAAAGAGGGTAAAACGTTCACCAAAAACGTTGATTGGTGAACCTAGATGAAGGGTACGTAGGTGTTCACTGTACTCTTTCAACTTTTTGTTGGGTTTGAATTTTTTTCATAAAAAGTTGGAGGGAATCACTCTAAAGAACTAGAAAGTGAGACAAGCAAAGAAGCCCGTTAGAAAGCTAGTGCAGGTGAGAGATGAAGTGGTTCGGGCTGGACTGGCAATGAGAAATGGGCAGATCCGAAATCTGTTCTGTATGTGGAGTCAGCAAGATTTATTGATAGATCAGCTGTGGGATGTGAAGAAAACAGGAGTCAATGTGTCTCTTGGGTTTTTGTCCTGAGCAAGTGGGAGACTGGCAATGTCATTAATTGAGACGGGACAATAATGGAAGGGCCAGGTTTGGGGATGGGAAATAGCAACTCTATTTTGGACATGTTAAGGGTAAGCATCCAAGTGGAGACTGGATTGGCAGCTAGAAAATTAGTTAAGAAATCAGAAAAGATGTCTTGTCTGGAAATATAAAATCTGGAATTACCAGCATCTAGTGGCACCCAAGGAACTGGATAGCAGCTCTTAAGAAGCAATTGTAGGCCGGGCATGCTGGCTTATGCCTGTAATCCCAGCACTCTGGGAGGCCCAGGCGGGCGGATTGCTCGAGGTCAGAGGTTCGAAACCAGCCTGAGAGAGATCCCGTCTGTACTAAAAAAATAGAAATAAATTAATTGACCAACTAAAAATATATATACAAAAAATTAGCCGGGCATGGTGGCGTATGCCTGTAGTCCCAGCTACTTGGGAGGCTGAGACAGGAGGATTGCTTGAGCCCAGGAGTTTGAGGTTGCTGTGAGCTAGGCTGACGCCACAGCACTCACTCTAGCCTGGGCAACAAAGCGAGACTGTTTAAAAAAAAAAAAAAAAAAGAGAAGCAAGTGTAGGTAGGGAAGAGGGCCAGACCGTGGCACGGAGAAGAGGATCGGGCATTCATTTCATTTCTCTTGTTCTGATTCCACGCTTACTGACTGAGCAAGCACCTGATTATTATTTGGCTTTCTATATAGGTCCACCCATAAAAAACAAAGATTAGTCATATGGACTTGGAATATTCTAGTTCCTGGGACAGATCCCATTGTAGAAGTTGATCACATTCACAAGCTTGGTTTGAGTCAGACCCTGAGACAGAAACATAATCAGAGTGCTGACAAGAACCTGATGGTGAGTCTGCATAAGGGGAAGCAGACCCAGGACTGTGGAAACTCCCCCAAGGAAATGCACGCTACACTCCTTGGTGGCACTCTGCCTTAGCTTGCATTTCTTTTCAGCCTGCCAAACAAGCATGGTCTCACATTTCCAGAACCAGTAAAAAAACCGTAAGCCAGGTAAAGCTCAGAAAATATTCCCTTTTTTGGCTGTATCCCCTTTCTTTTATTGTCGAAGTTCTACTGATTTGTCATGGTGTCTCTCATACAGTTTTTCTTTCATAATGATTTTGCATTTCCTCAGATCAGGGCCCTTATTACCTTACTATTTGGGGAGCATTCTGTCAGTGCTTGCTCTAATCTATTTTTAAAATTTTATTTTTAAATAGGTAGTATTCACCTGGTTCAAAAATCAAAGTGACTAAGTATACAATGAGAAATCTCCTTTCCACCTCTTCCCAATCCTTGTTTCTCCCAGCAAAATCACTGCCCCTATGCCTTTTAGCTTGTGTAGCCATTAGAGTTTAGGTGGTTACTAATCTTTCGCTATTAGAGTTGCAATAAGTAACTATATATACACATTTATATATGGTTTGTGAGCTGTAGTTTGTCTTCTCTGACGAGCTGTGTCCATGAGAAAGACAATCTCCTTCTGCCTGGGGATGAGCAATTTCTGACAAAAGCTCAGGATCAAATTGCATTCCCCTTTTCCTTCCCTTTTTGTCTGAAACATGTATACCACGACACTTCCTGTATAACATGATTAAATAGCTCCCCTGGCTGACGCAGTTCAAGGATGTTCAAGTTCAACTATTTAATGCTTATTGTTTTGAAGATAAAAATGGCTTGTGCTGGCCCAGTGAGAAAAAAATAAGAAGGTCCATTAAAGGCTACTAGAGAAAATGGGTCTGTGGGAGGCAGACTGACATGTAACTTCAGAAAACAATAAAAAACTCAGGTGAGAAGATAATGCATATTTGTCTTCTTTTTCCCTCTCACGGTGTTGCAGATTATATTTTCCAAAGATACTGCCTCAATATATCCCATCTCACATGGTCTTTTTATAATGTGACACACATTCTTTGTCATGAGTAGTAGGGGCTGTGTTCTCCTCCCTTGAATGTCAGCTGACCTTTATGACTGCTGAACCAATAGAATACAGAGGAAATTGTCCAGTTAAGCCATCACCCCCTCACCCCCAGAAGCATGACAAGTAATATAATGATCCAAACCTACCAAGTTTTGGGATTATTCATTAAGCAGCAGTAGAAAATAGGAACATGATCTTAACCTTAAATTTTCTTTACATTTTCCCTGGTCTTGATTCTTTAATTTTCATTCAGATTTTACCATAATTGTGTGTGTGTAGTTTTGTTTTTCTGTAAAACAGGTCTACTTTTTTTGGTCTGTTTTTATTGTAGGTCATGTCAAATCCTTTGTGGTTGATAGTGTTAAGTATAATGTAATTACATGTTTAAAAGTGCTCTGCTATCTAACTCACTGATGCAAACTCCCTGGTGTTATTCTGTAAATAAGGATAACCTATGAAAGCTTTATCATCATTTTGAGGGATTTTCTTAATTAAAAGAAAAAAGATTACTTTGTGTAGATCTGTTCTACATGTTCTGTTTCTTCTCCCCAAAACAGATCCTTTGCCCTTGAAAGTTTATAGAAATAATTATAACCTCATCTATGGAGGACGAAATGGGCTAATTCATTCATCAAATAGGTCCTCAACAGACACTTATTGGATATCTATTGTGTGCAAGATATTTGACCGGGTGCCAAAACTACAAAAGGGCTACTGGACTCATGACTATATAAATGCTTATCATATGCAAAGCACTTGGGCATGCCTGGAAAAGTCTTTAAATGCCTTCAGTGATGGAGGAGTGTTTAAAGCAGCAGCAGCAACAATAACAACAACAAAATAAAGCAAAATGATCTGACAGGCAATTAAAAAAAAAGGAAAAAATTACACAGCCATTTTAAAGTAGGTTCATTCATCTATGAATTCAGTAAAGGACGCAGAGTTAATTTATTCTCTCCATGTTCACAGAAATAATGTATCACAGCATAAATCTTTAAAAGCAAAACTATACTTAATACAAAAGATCATGATAGGATGTTAGTTTTTTCAAATACATTACTAGTCACTACTTATTCAACTATAATTAAAGATTTTTTCTTCAGTTTTCCTAAATTCAATCTTAACCCAACTAAATAAGAATTTGTTGAATAAGTAGATTGGAAGCATGTATTTAGAGGAACAGATTAAAGATAACACTTGTTTTATTCAACATGCAATTCTGAATACTTGGTATAAACAGCACTATTTTGGGTGTTACAGAGAACTGCTAAAAGTAGAAGACATTCTTCTTATCCATGGCTAGAGGCATGTATTATTTGCATTTATAAGCTTTTACAATAAAATAAGAACATTTGTAAATTCACATTAGAAATAAGAATTATCAAATTTGTTACCATGGAATTCTGGCTATGCACTAAACACAAGAAAAACTATCAAACACTTAAAAATATCTTTACAAGCTTTTAGGGACCAGGAAAAAAATCGAATTATGAATTTCATATTCTTTATGGTATTAACTATTAACTACAAAGATGAAAATGAGTTCACGATGCACAGTCATATTTCTGGTAACATATATTCAATGGTATATGGATGGTGAAAATCCATCCAAGTTTTTCCAAATAAAATGGTAATAAACCAAGGGCCACATAAAAGTAAAAATTTATACCTTTTTTGAACAAAATTTTTACTCATTGCTTTACAAATTATGAGTATGAAAAATTTTTATAGAACAAATTAACATTTATATTGTAAACAATTAAAATAAGATGACATTTTAAAACCCCATTCAAGTCTGAGATTAAATAATTCCATGAACTAAATATATAAAGGTGAAAAAGGCGAGATGGAGCAAAAAGATATAGAAGAGTAAAAGAAACTATAAAGAAATGTCTATAAAGAATGATCCCTAAACCTATACAGACTAACACAGAACAAGACCCTGTCTCAAAAAGTAAAAGGTTGATTAATGAAAACTTTCTGATGCTATAGTTCATCTTCTGAATCTTGATCATAAACTTTCTGAGGTTGTCTCTTAACATTGATTACCAAGTCAATGGTTAATATTTTTGTCAAACACTGAAGAACTGATGTTAGTAGCTGGTATTTACCAGCTACTGATTCCAAACCTGTCTTACTGCTTACTAAGAGCTGATTGGTTTGCAGTGCATGGAGAGCTCTTATATATACTTGTGGAAAGCTGTAGTTTCCCTTCTTAGATTTATAAAGGATTTTGGGAATGCCTAAAAGTGCATTGGCTACTATCATACTAACCATGGTTTCTTCCGATTGCTGGCATTTTTTGGCATAATTGAGAAGATAGTAATGTAACAAGATTTCAAAATTACCACCTACTGGCAAAACACAACCTGCTGGCATAGATGAAGAATAGTAACTCTGGGAAGTACGCATATCCAGTAACTTACATCTCACTGGTAACATGGTCCCCTTTCCAGCAATTTTTGTGACTGGTAAATTTTCATAAGAAATTTCTATTCTAGTGTTTTCTGTTGTTGAATGAACAGCGGAATTACTCTCAATTAATGGTTCACAATTGTCAATTATTATGTTTTTTCCCAAAGATAAACATCTAAGTGTTTCATCTGTTTGGAATGTACCTGTTGGTGTCAGTTTTGCTGTTGAACATGGAATATATGTTTCTAATTCTGCATTTGAAACTACTAAATTTGAATTTACTTTTAAATATGTTTGAGTTTTTTCCAATTTATCTTTGTTCTTTACAGCTGTGTCCTGACAGGGATTTTGTAGTGACCCATTACCAATTTCTGGTAACTGATTACTTTCTCTACTATTCTTAGAAATAAGAGGACTTGAAGTATCCTTTTGGTCATTGGCTTCTGTCATGTAATTTAGATCAAGATCTTTAAATAACTGCCGAAGCATTTTAAATGCTCCATGTAAAGCACCCTCATGTTGTTCAATAAGACCTTGCACTGGTCCACAAAGAACTATACAGTGTGGTATAAACGCACATGTGCTAGCCAAGCTAAGATGAACATACCTTTTGGATCTAAGGATGAGGGGTTTACAAAATTTCACCAAAGCAGTGTTAGAGATTTCACACTGTGAAGAGGCCTGTGGTAGTACAAATGGAGAAAGACCAATGATCCTTTGGATAAGAGTAACTTCTTCTGATGATAAACACTCCACCACTGATATGCCATTCAGTCCTGCATAATAAATAACTAAATCTGGTTGTTTCACACTAGATAGGAGCAATTTTACATTCTGACTATGTAAATGTTTCATTATTGCTTTTGTCCTTTCCATAATCCAATATTGAGATGTTTGAAATTGTGCTTCTGAATTTAGAATAAACTCTGATCCAGAAGTTGAAAAAAGAGGCTGAATGGTTTCTGTTACCATCACTATTCTTATGTCACCATCTGCTGGGCAGTACACAGAAAAATCTCTGTGAAGCACAAGCCCAGCTACAATCCTGGAATCTGAAACAGGAAGACCAGTGACACCAACACTCAACTCTACAAAACAGTCATCCACTAACTCAAATACATCAATCCCACTTTCACAAGTCATACACTTGAAAAAATAGTCACACATCAATTGTGAAATAAATTTCTGATTATTTCTTCCCACTCTTCCACAAAAGTAAGCTTCTAAGAGCAATTCTAAAGAACTCCTTGACAATGTTCTCTCTTTAGCAGAAGAAAAGATAGACAAAAAGTGTCTACTTAAGTACTGGTCCATAATACAGTCTAATATTTGTGTCTGAAACATTAGAAGACTTTGGGAAATAAATTTCCACTGACAGCAATTTTTCCAATGCCTTCCATGGGTTTGAATATTTTCGCAAATCAAAGAATCCTTTTCTCTGTCTGTGATTGCATGAAGTCCTCTAAGCAAATGGCAAAGAAAGATAATAAATGTTTTAGCACCATCTCCTGTTTTTTTGAGATGACTGGAAACACAGGCCACTATCATCCTGTACAAAAAGGAAATAAAGGAACTCAGATTTTCAGAAGGCTGACTTCCTACATCTGAATCAAGTTAAAACCATATTTTCACAGCTATAGGCATAAAATAAGGATACTCCCCCTTTGATACACATCTTTTCTTTTAGCTTTTTCAACTTCCTTTGTACTACTCCAAGATCCTAGGGTTGGGTGGAGTGAAAAGTATTCTTAGGAGTTAATAAGATTTGGGGTCCAGGAGTGTTCCCTTGGGCAGGGATCTAGGGCCGCGCGCACACTGGTGTCAACCGAGGTCAGTTTTTCCAGGTACTCAGCCTCAGGATGGGACAAGAGGTTCAAGGAGATTGCCTAGGACGCCAGCTATGGGCTAGAGTGTGGGACGCGGGTACCTGGCTATGGGATGCTCTAAGTGTAGCGCCTCCAGGAGGCGGCCTCCATCCCGGCTGAGCAGCACCTCGCCAGTGGGCTTCGTACACAAAACCTGCCGCCCCTCGGGCCCTACGCAGCAGCTCACGATGGTTTCCAGCACCTCGGCCACCTGCAACGCCGCCTTCACAGACCCCGCGGCTGCCATAGAACCTCGGGTTTGGGGCGCTCCTCATCGCCAGAAAGCGGCACAACACGACTCATCCAAGAGAGGGGCGGGGCGCGCGGCCGGAAACGGAAGGGGCAAGGAGGAACCGGAAGCCTGGAGCCAAAGCGGAAGCAGGAGTAGCACGGCCTCTTGGTTGGGTGAACTGGCTGCTTTTCGGCCCGCTTGGCGGGAAAGCCTTGCTGCTCTGTCAGGGGTGGGGGTTGCCGGCACACCGTCCGCAAATGTAAGTCCGCACAACTTTAGGAGTGCCTCGAGCGGTAACCCTAAGCCCTTCCCTGGCTTCCTAGGTGAATTCATTTCCCTCTAGTAGCATCAACTGCCCCTAAATCCCCTAGTGTCCCAGGAAACTTCCTCCGAAGTCAACACAGTAGTGGGGCCTGGGTGAAGGTGGGAATGGGCACCGCGGGTAGAATTCGGCTGGCTCCCATCACCCGCCAGAAGCTGCTTATTTTCTGGCAAAACCTTAGATTCACCTTGTCCACATTCTGCCCATCAATTGCTTTTCTCACCATCACGAAAGTAGTTTCTAGATACAGGACAAATTGTGAGACCCTGGTCACGGCCATGAATTGCAGGCTTTATGTCTGCTGCAGGGGGCTTTGTCACATTTTCTGGGCTCAGGTATCAATGTAATTCCAGCCACCACAACTCAATTACCTTTTCTTTAGCAGAAATGATGGATGTAAAGACTTAAATTTATTATTTGCATTGGTGATCAATAGTATGCTTTAAAAACAGTGGCGTAAGATTACTGGATACAATCCAAAGAACATACTACTTGAGGTTTTAAAACACACACACACTTAAGAGAGTATGGGCTTTGGATTCAGACCTGGGTTTACTCTGCCATTTACTTATTTGTGACATTCAATAAGTAACCTCTTTGATCCTCCCTTTTCTCACCTTTAAAAAAATGGCGATAACATATAATAAAAGAAAAACAGCATACGGTTTTCAGGAGGTAGATAATGTTTACAAAGCACAACATAGAACATGTCAAAACATGTCACTATTAGCAAGTAAATGCTCTTGTAGATATTTTGGGGTTGAGCAGTGAGGGGCTGTTTTCCTTACTTCTTATACAGATAACCATGATGGAAGAAACCCTGTAGCCCCTCCCCTCCCTTCCACAATCCCCAGTTGATAGAACCAAGGACAGCCGGAAGCAATTGGACCCTGACAGGCCAGCAAGAAGGGGAAACGAGGAGGGTGGAGTAAAACCAAAGAAAGGCTTCTTGGAACTCATCTGATGTTGACTTACCAGTACGGACTAAAAGGTGATTTGAGAGGGAAAAACTCTTTCCTATGGATTTAGTGTATATGTTAGTTTAATAGTAATGCTTTCTTCTGGTTCTATTCATCACAAAGGGGTAGATTACTCAATATAGATTCAAGCAGTGGTTTATTCCAAACATTTAAAAGTGAAGGGCTACTATCAGAGTTCTATTTAAGTGTACTGTGGAGACATGGATTCATTCACACTTGTGCTCTTACCCTTACACTAAGAGTGGGCTGTCATTCTTACTGTGTAGCTTTTGGAGTCATTTAATCTCACTGAGCCTCAGATTCTTCATGTATAAAATCTAGCTAACTTCCACTTATTTTGAGTTTATTCAAGAATGAATATAAAGCACCAAGTAAAGCCTACTTTAGGGGTTCTGTTAAATTCCTTTCAAGCCCTTCACCGTTCTTTGCAGCTATGCCCACAAAGAAAAGGAAAAAACTTAAAATCAGGACTAAGTAATTTAGTCACCATGATATATTGAGAGTCATTTGATCACAGTTTGCTCTTTTTAAAAATTTTATTTAGAATGCCTACTTGTATAAGTCAGCATCATTTTACAGATTAAAAAAATTCAATTCTTTTCTCTCTGCAAACATTTATAGTAGTTAGGAATAATAGATTAGAAATGTAATACATTACAAAACAGTAGCCTATGACTATCTGTACATTTACTATGCACCTTAAGGAAAAGAATTTGACAGTGTCCTGTACTTAAACCACAGATAACCTACTTTTATTCTGTCATACAAAACTGACCAGTGGTACTGCCTGAATTTATAAATGGCCATTAAACAATGTTTAAACTGAGATGTATATTTAGCATCCTAAATAGTGAAAAAAATTTCAGCTGAAGTTCTGTGGCTCATCAGTTCAAATGTTTCATGGCATTTTTTATTTAAATGAAAAATTTTGATATTGTAATACTAAAATAATTTTACATGATAAATGCATAAAGAAATTTTTCTAAATATTTTAGAAAGTATATTCACATTCATTTGTCATGGGTTTCTTGTGGTTCTTCTAAATATGTTAATCATGTTGATAAGACACTGGTCCTATTCAGTTTTAATAGTCCATCTTCAGTTAAACATTAACAAAAACAGTATGTTAAGAGTAACAAAAAGCAAATTAAATATACTAAACTCCCATGATAGGTAGAACAAAAGGAAACCAAATTAAATAATAATGGCAGGTTATACATTTTAAAGAATCTCTTTTCCACTTAGTCAAGTAAGATAGAAGTGGAAATGTAAACTTACTGATTTCTGTGGTTCCCCTGTTGGTTCAAATTGGAAAATTTGATGTAAATGCTAATATTCTATTTCTGTACATTTAACATAATTCAAAATAATCTGTAAGGTATGGCTCATCAATACCATCATCACCATATGTTCAAATAAAATAAACCAAAAATATTCATTGCTCACTAGAAATGCTGAACACTGGAAAAATGGAATTTCATATATTTGTTTTCTTAAATTTTGCTTAAGATATTCTTCAAAAAGTTAAAACTGCCTTCCACAAAATTTTGTGTGTATATGGCACAAGTTGACACCCAAAACAGTGTAAATTCCATTGAAAAGGCACTGTTTACAATACTCAGAATAATCTGACAAGTCTACTTCAATGATGTCTGAGAGTGAATATATTTGAAAGAGGTAAATAGACAAACCCTTATAAAAGTACAGCATTACTGTTTAAATATTCTATAGCTATATAAAAGGAAATAAAGTGACACAGAGAAATGACCCTTTTATGACAATTAAGCCTATAAACACTTTGAATCATATTATAGTTCTGTAACATAAAAATGACAAAAAATATTTTCTTAAAGGCACAAAAGCATGAATACTAAATGACAGTTGTATTTTACAAGGCCAACTTTTCAATGGAATGCAGTTGCCAACTGAGCTATGACAGAAATTACACTGTACCTTTATAATTAATACAAAAAAGTACTGACATGAAATACAAGTAAAATATCTATTGCTGAAACTTACTTAACATTTCACATGCCCTATTTATTGCCTTATCCTGGGCCAGCTACATCTCTTACTAAGTGGTGGATAACTGATGGCATAGTAATTTAACAACTAAGAAAGAAATGCACATGTCAATAACTACTCATCTAAGTTTTCATGTGGGAAAATAAAATTTTGATAAACTTTTGAAGAAAACTGGTCATAAAGTTGTAAATCCTAGAAACCATCATGAGGCTTTCAGACAATTGGAAACTGTAAATCACATTATGAATCCATGTGTGAAGGAAGATTACTCTCAGGTAAAGAACATTCAAAGTCAATTACATACTATGGCTAAATACAAAATTAATTATGTGTTTTAAAGATTCACATACTAATCCTAGTATAAGCACTGATCTAAAATTAAGCCACCAATTCCTGAGTTTTGTGTTCAGTTCATAGAAAGGAATTCATACAACTAAAAGCATTAAAAGGACTACTGGATTAGACATATGCTTTTAGTGTATTAAAAAACAGTCATGAATAACCCTGCCCCTTCTTATGAAATAGTTTTTGACTCTTTGTGTAAAAACCCATACCATCTGCCCTAAAAGAATTTGTTTTAAATAAAGAAAATACCTTTCTAATCTTAGAAGATACCCATACAAATAAAACACCATCTTGACCAAATAAAAATAACATACAAGTGGATAAGACCAAAACCCTAAGAGGTGGGTCACCAACAAAAAATTTTAAGTTTTCACGGTTTAATGATGAAATTACTTTTGTGATCAGCCAATCAAAGTTATATGTAATATAAATACTAATTTAAACCATAAAAAAGATCAAATTGTACAATATTTACAAACTATCATATATCAACGAATAGGCAGTTGAGCACAACATTGGTAACACAAGGTGAATACAAAAATTATATTGACAAATATGAAATATAACCAAAAAACCACTCATTCTAATGTAGTCATGAGAATACTGGCTATAGGTATACCTTATTTATACTTTTATCAATTTAAAAAATAACTTCACATGTACATATAGAATACAACATTATTTTGTCAACAAAACATGGGAAATGGTTCTTCATAGAAACCTAAGGGTACTTAAGATAGCTATATAGGTTAGGGAAAAAAGGCAGGCTCTTTTTATCATTTTAATTTTCATAATTTAGCAATCATCTCTTGATTTTATATTTATCACAGCATAAACAATTTATTATAATTTTACTAGTGTCTCACAGTCTCTTCTTAGTCAAAGGCAAATGTGGCCAGAGCAATTCCTCTCTCTGACCTTCATTTTAATTAATTATTTCAAAATCTATACTTTCAGGATTCTAAGACATATTTTAAGACAATATGTTCCTAAACTTAACTGCCTTGGCAAAACTTGCTCTTGAGGACTATAAATATGTCTGTAAAAACACAATGTCAAAATATTAAACTGAAGAAACAAACAAAATTTTAGGAAAAAGTGTGCCTGAGCCTGAACAAAAGGATATCTTAAAGAATTGTGGTTTTGCCACAGAAAGAAGTTACTAAGAACAAAAGGGGATAATAAAGAATTAAACTTCAGAACTTGATACTCTTCTCAGATGTTCAACTTATTGCACATTTTAAAGAAACCAATTTTAATGTACACATAAAGGCCACTATACAGTGTCTTATTGCCTTTCTCTTTTTGGCTTTTGAAGTAAAATAGTAGTTATAATTTTTGTATTCTACGTATTCACTGAACACATTAGGGTCTAAATGAAAGCTAAAATAAATTTTTCATAATGAAAAAAACATGAATTATCAGCATTTCATATGCCCTTTAAATGTCTCTAGAATTTGGCCTAAGTTATGGACCAGCTGACTTAAAAAAACATAAAGACAGCAGTGAATTTTGACCACACTTTTTTTTTTTTTAAGAAGTGCTTAAACTGGTATTGTAATCAATCCAAGTAGTTGCATACAAGTTTTTTAATATTGATATACACATATGTACATATATACCTGTTTCTATAAACATTAAATTAAATTCTAGGGGTTAAAAAAAGTCTGTGTAAACTTTTTAAAAAGCAGTTTTTTGTTACCTGTCTCTCTCAATATATTCACTGACCATTCACACGTTTTTCTTGCTATTTCTAAGAAGACAATTGAGCTGGGTGCTTTGGAAATTATTTTAACAGTACAGTGTATTGAATTAACCATGTCTATTATTCCATCATTTCTCAGTCTGTAATTCCTTATTGATAAAAGCTTTGTGCCTGTTTTATGAAGAAAATAGATTACTATACATATATTTATAAGATTGATGCATTTTTGTTATGAACAATGTTAACATATTTCAGAACATACTATAGAATACAAAGACTACTATCAGGTAAGAGTACATAAGAGACAACTGTGTATACATGTGGATTTATTATGCTCACATGTAGACACATTCTCACAAAATCTACGAATGTCCTGGCACTTAATATACAGGTCACTTTAATAACCAAATAGGATAGCTCTTGTTTCAGGTTAAAGATAAAAGATATTAAAGGTCAACACCTCTATATTTATTTCCTAGGTTTTTTTGTTTTAGAAATATGGTGATGTTTTAATAAAGACCAATCCAACTCGAACATTGGTCCTAGGCCAAATCTGATCTTTCTAGTTCATTGATTCAACTGTAGAGAACTTCTATTTAAACATGAAGTTTATTATGACTTGAAGCAAAATCAGGAGGAAAATGATGAAGTAGTCTTTTTGCTGCAGAAAATAATCCGTGGCAGGTGTGCTTGAAACTAAATGATTTCGAAGAGCCATAATATTCCTACAAAAATAAGCAACAATAAATTTTACAATGATTTGCCAAAAATGTTAGCGCAGAACTCAAATTTGATATTATATGTTCACAGAGCATTTAATTACATTATCTAAAGTAACTAGTTTGATCAATTACAACTACCCAAAGAGGAAGCTGATTATGCTTTGTAAAACCATTATTAAGCTTTGTTTAAATCTAAATTCCACATTGTACCAAGCATATTACTTAATCATATGCATCAAACATAATTGTTAAAGTTTGATGATATGGAAACATATTAACCTTCTCTGTTATAACAGTGGTTTTAAAATAGAAATTTTGCTTCTTCACTGGTTCACTATCTTTAGAGAGATAGAGGTGGAGGTAGAAGAAAATCCTAAATTCCCAGGAAAAAATACTAAATAGATTTCATAACATTCCCAACTTGAAGAATGCTCTAAAGGCATTTCATATGCTTACAAAAATACAATGTTAATTTAGTCATAAAATGAGCTTACACTATCCTCATGTCACCCTCTCTAAATGCTTTTGGCTAAAAAAAAAAGCTGATTAGGGAAGCAACATTTCTTTTGTGGATTTCTATTCTTAAAATGTTTTACCAGTATAAAAAAAGAGAAAGAAAGGAGTCAAAACAATCAACTAGGCTAATTAATTTTTAAATATAATTAAATTAGTAAACTTGAACACTTTATATAAGGCTGATGATACCAAGAAGCACAAGACATGCTCCCTTGCTCTAAAGGAGTTCATAGTTCTTTAGACTCCTTTAGGGTAGACAGATACACACAATAACAAGTCTGTAGTATGTTAAGTACCCAAAATGAGTATGTATAGGGAGCTATGCAAGCTGAGTTGAGGGATTAATTAACTCTATAGGGCAGGGTGATTAAAAATGTTATAAATAAGGGTGGCATTTGAGTTTAATTCTAAACAAACTCAGGGATTTATTCTTTTTTCGGTGGGGGCGGGGTGGGGGGAGTGTCACTGTGTTGCTCAGGCTGGTCTCCAACTGTTGGAGGGATTTATTCTTGATGGGCAAGGTGAGAGGAAAGGCAATTAAGTGGATTCAGTGTGGGCAAAGGTCCAAAGATGAGACAGCACAGCATGTTCTTAGATGTAAGGAGTTTCATAGGATAGAGCATGAGATGGGTGCAGGGGAATGGCAGGAGACAAGGCTGTATATGAAAATAGCAACAGAATTTAAGCCAGAAGGTCTCCAAGAACAGAGAAAACTTCTCTCTCTCTTTTTAAAAAAATCATCCAGAACATCTAGCACTGAGTGCTAAATACATAAAAGCAGCTGGGCTAATAGTAAACTTCTTTAACAATTGATATAGCATGGGAGTCAACCAACTGAACTCATGTTAGCCTTAGCAATGGAATAGGATTCAGGACCCCCTCTCTAAGAAAACCCCCTAAGTGTTAATAACCTATAATTGCTGGATCATGGGGTGATGTGGGGGAGGAGTCTGGGACTACAAGAGCACTCAAAGGTCTCCAGCAGTGACTATTTACCCACTGTTATGGAAGTATTTCAGTATTTCAACAACTGGTACATTCCAATTAAATATTAGCCATACAAAAAAGGGACTATAGAGCCTTTGTTAATTGACTTTCTCAGAGACAACCCCACCTCCTCACTCAATGTAGCTACATTCCTAGCACGCTACAGCAATAACATGAAGCATATACCAATTGTACTGTCCCAGAGAATAAACAACCTCCCCCTTCCCTCCAGTACTTAAGTGCTGGAAGAATTTCATAAATGTCAGACCCCGGATGATAGAGGCTAATGTTCTATTTTAGCTTAACAATGTTATAGAAATGTAAAGTTTCCATACATTTCCTATGTAACAGGATTTTTAACTATTCCTCTGGACTCAAGTGAATAGCCACCGTTGGTATATATTACCTTTTAATTTCTTCCTGTGTTTGTTTTATAGATTCAATGGAACTTTGAATGTCTCCCAGTTCTATCCCTTTCTTTCTTCTTGTACTTGGTTTTATTGATTGAGCTAAAAAGACATTTAGAATGAAGTTGTAATCATAAACACAATCTATAGTTCAACTTAATGAGTCCCATACCATAAAAATTTCCCTAGGCATTAGTTTTTGTAGCTTTGAGATTAGCATAATACTAAATCACTGTATTTTTTGAAGTTTCAAAAATAGAACATTATGAATATATTTAAGTAAAAACAAATTAAATTTCGGATGGCACCAGTTTTTTAAAAAGAAATAATTAGAAAAAATATATATATCAACTTGGGGAAGGTATTAGTATCTGTCCCTCGCCCATTTGCCTACATTTGAAGAAGCTGGCTTTTTGAGCTCCTTTTAAATTTTTTTATTATTTGTTAATGTTATTTTTATTCCCCTGATTACCCACACTTTAAACCTCTTCAGTTGGCTTTGATACTTCTGCAAATTTTTATTGCCAACCAGCAAACTATGTAGGTTTTTTCAAATCTCTTCTCATATCCACTCCTTCCTTTCCATTTTTTGTTCAGATCTTACTTAACCACTCTCCAAGTCTCAGCTTTCTCATTATTAAAATAGGGATAATAATACCCAGCCTCACACAGTTTATGTAAGGTGTGTTTAACATATAGTCTAGAATATGTTAATTAATAAATGTCAGCTGATACATTACAGGTACTATAGTGGAGTGGATAAGAGGGTGAATTAAGGAGCCAAAATATCTGCATATATTATTAATTCTCTCTCTCTCTCTCTCAAGGGGTATGTGACCTTGGGCAGGTTAAGTCTGTATCTCAGTTTCCTATAAAATAGGAACAACACTATAACCAATACTCCCTCTTAGCACACTGATGCCATGTGTGACTCCTGCTTTTAAATCTTTATTCATTTTATTTAAATCTTATTTAAGTATTTATTCATTTTATTTAAATCTTTATTCATTTTCCTCTACTATTCCAGTATGCTTCCCCTACCCCACCCCCAAGCCTAGATTACTGTAAATCCATTAGAAATCATAATAATTCATCAGGGTTCTTCTAAGACCCTTCCCTAAAATTAAATTGAGCTCCCTCTCCTTTAAACTCTTTATCCCTTACCATTTACAAATTTCCTGCTATTTATCATTTATTCACCTTTTAGTACTATCTCTGTAGGTGAAAATGGGCTCCCCAGCTTAGTGTAAACTTAATAGAGATTATGGCTTCAAGTTTTTTTTAAATTTTCTCACAATGTATCAGACATTACCTTAATCTTTTCTTGATTATATCTCAATTATAGTTCAAGACAGTTTATACATTATCTGACTTGAACGAGAAATGGCATATTATTTAATCTAGTAGTCCATAAGTTTTTTATATAGTTTTATTTTTACTTGCCCGTGACTTCCAAACACTACAATAATTTATTCTGGGAATGAAAAAGATTTTTAAGTATGGAACTGAGCTCAAAGCTCAAAACATATTTCCTGAATTCAGCCTAAGGAACCATCAACAATTTTTCAGAGGCTAATGAGGCATAAGAACTACTATTATAGCGTAGTTCTTATTTGTATGTCTCCCCTTTTTTCATTTCCCTTGCCTTTACCTAAGGGTGGTCTTGCAGCTTATCTGTGATCTAGAATACCTTTTGTACTCCCTGTCCCTGCTCCCCTACCAAAACTCTTATATATCTTCTTGAGTTAATATAAAAATCCATTTCGTACATTAAATGTGGTACAGTAATATTTTTCTCAAAAATTAGACTCTTAAAGTGAGGAGTCTGCAATAAATATGTTTACCTTCACTTCCTGATGAGTCCTGAATATCAGGTTCTGGGGAAGAATATCCTTTTGCCACTTTTTTCTGTTGCCTGGTTGGCTTATGTTTCATTTTTGGGACACTAACCTGAAGGAAAAAATATCAATATTATGTGAATTTGCACTGTCTTTTGTTTGTTAAAATTGTCTGTTAATAGTCATGATATTCATAAATATAGACAAAAATGAAACAGTCTAATTAAAATTTAACAAATAAGATGGGATGCACTAATATAATCAAATTATCTTTATTTTAATAGGACACAATTGGGCACAAATATCAGAAAGTAAAACATATAATGAAGAGGTTTCCTTCCCACTCCTGACCTCTATACACCCAGTGTCTATCCCAGTAAATAAGTATCCACCACTATTAGTTTGCATCCAGAGATATTTTTATGCACACACAAATATGAATATGGATCTCCCAACTTCTCTGACTGCATCAGCTAGTATCACCAGAATGTTAAGTAATAGCATTTATAAATCATTTTATATATTGTTCCCAATATTAGAAACATTCCATTGAACAATGTTGGGTTTCCAATAAAGTTATTTAAATTACTTACTTTTAGTCATATTTGGGAAATATAGAAAGCATCTTATAATGAATAGAAATGATACTGTTATTTTGCAGAGCATTATTTAAACTTACAACAGCATTTAAAGTGTATGTGCAAGATTCAGAATTATATCAAACCATCAATTAGGGCTAAATTTTCCTTAGAATAATAAACTTTAGAGTCTATCCTATTTGACAGTTTTGCAATTCTAGTCATCGGTATAAAATTTATTAATAAAAACCTAAATGCAAGAGAAGAGACTAGAATCAGAAAGACAAGATAATGTACATGCTTTGAAAAACAGAAAACCAGTGATGAACAAGTCTTTACCTACATTGTCACCTGTCCACGATTCTAACAGGAATTATCCCCAATTAATTATTCCTTGGAATAATTTTCCAAAATCTTATTCATGTACTTAAAATTTCTATAATATAAAATAAGCAGGCAGTCTGCTTATTTTAAGTCTTCAAATGCTGGAGACTTAAAGTTTCCTAACATTTAGAATACAAATCCATATTCTTACAGTAGGTTCAAATGGGAGATTGATGAAGACTAGTGAGAAACTTACTTAAAATGACAAAGGAAATCAGCAATACAACTAGAAATATACAAAGATTTATTGTGATCAGGAAAGTCTACGTTTAGGAGGAAATGCTGATGATGTGTGTATCTCTATCTGTTAGGGTTGTTAAAGGAAGAAACACAATTTAAAATTTTTAAATTGTGATAACATATATAAAAACAATTTTGCCATTTTAACCATTTTTAAGTGTACAATTAAGTGGCATTAATTATATTCACATCTTTTGATCATTTTTAATTGTTTCTTTGGGGTAACAAGATCTTGGAGCTGTGTGCACTGCCATTTTGCTTACCCCAAATTTTAAATTTTGGAAGCAAATTTTAAATATTTATTGCCATAAAGATTTAATACATTTATATACCTGGCAGATCTAGTTACTTTTTTACTACATACCATTGGAGTACGATGTTTCACTTTGGTCTGGATAACACCATCTTTTTCAAACTGTATCATATCATTAAGTGGGTCCCATGGTCGGGTGCTACATAAAATTAAAAAAAAAATTTGCTTAATGACTGAATAAAGAACTTAAAAACTTTCTGTTCGATTGTTAGATTTTCATTAATAATTATATATATAGTTCTAATATTAAGATTTGCCCCTATGTAATCTGATCCTTAGCTTATTTGATAGGCTAACCATTAATATTATCATAAAGTTTACAATGAATGAAACATCAAGTTTAAACTCTCACACTAATATATGTAATTTGAGAAAAAAAACCATCTAACAAATATTCTGGAAATAAAGGCCACAAACTATGCTAATAAATTATTTGAAATAAACTCTTTTTAATTACTTACTCTGCAAACTTGTAATGCCATTCTCCTGTGAGTGGATCAAGTTCAAATAGCTTACAAGTCCATTCTTCATTTTTTGTTTTTCGATCTCTGGCAGTTTGCCTTTGAGCTTCTTCTAAAACATACTTCTCTTGAGTAGCTTCTGTTTGGTCTTTGGCATTTATGGCTCTAGTTACCCGCTGCCAGAGTCTAATATGTAGTATTAAAAAAGCAACAGAAAATCAAATCTATATAAAATAGGCTTAAATACCCTTGAGAGAAAATAATGCTCATATGGATTTCTGGCTTTGAGAACATAGCTTAGAAATGAGTCAAGTTTTAAAAATCTAGTGCCTTGAGAGACACCTGTTCATAGTAGACACTAATTTTCTTGGCAAGAGAAATTGATTACCTGGGTTATTAAACAAATGGTAGTGAATGTTGCTGACCCAAGATGGTAGGAATATAATGAAGGTAGAACTTAAGAACCTACACTTTTAACAAGTTTCCTTGTTGATTCTTATACATACTGTTTAAGATTTACTGGCCTCAAAGATCCATTAGTGTAATGCAGTGCTTCTCAACCTTGCATGCATGAATTATCAGGGAACTTTAATATGCAGCCAGTGTTGAGAACCCACTGATTTAACAGAAAAGTCTACTGAGGTAAAACGATTTCCTCTACTAGTGTTTTCATCTGTTAAATAAAAGTATAACATCTATTTCCCACCCATCTGGGAAGGCAGCATGTAAAAACTGAAAGAACAAAGGCTTTAGGATCAGACAGACTTGGGCTGAATCCTAGGTCTGCCACTTCTTAGCTGGTGAACTTAAAGTTACTGATCCTAAGTCTCGTTTTCTCATCTTTAAAATATGAATTAAATCCACACCTCAAAAATTATCATTTGCCTTGGCAAACCTTAGCTCTGGATGGAGAACATCATGTGATTATGGCTAAAATGGATTTTTTATAACTAGTGCATACATATTCTTTCATCTTTGTCAATCTCAATTTTGAGTGTAGAAGGGAAAGTACACATAGACTTGAGTCCCCATGAGAACAATACATGTGGGAGGACAAGGCTGCATAATGTGTATCAAGTGCCTAGCCAAGTATCTCTTACACAAAAGTCCCCTATCCCAACACAAAGAGATACAATAAGAATAAAATTGGGCAATGTGTATATAATAAATATAAGAGATCTAGCAAGAATTTCATGACTTAAGAACAGAAACTATGGCCTTAATAACTACCCAATTAATGTTAAGTCTTTCGGAAACCAGCCCATTCAGTACATTATTCTTGTGTTTCAGAGAATGGAACAAAAGTAAGTTCTGTACCACTCCCTTCATCTAGAGTTCTACATGCCTAAACCAGGTTAGAAATCAACTGCCAGGTAGAAACTAGGAATTGCTAATTAGTCCTATAATTTAAGGCAAACAAAAGATGTTTTTTTGTTTTTAAGGTACTGAAGCAGATAAGAAGAGAAAGGAAAAATGGAAAGTTTTAGTTTTGAACTGCAGAAAAGCAAGATGATTTGTGTTATATTTATTTGACATTCACATACATCAAAACAGGATATGGTCACATCCCACAAATGATAAAGTCTTTTGTTGAATTAAAATATGAAAGAAGGCAGAGAAAAGTGAGAAAATGACCATATTATTAAGAGATTAAGAATACTCTTTGATCTTCATGAGTTAGCTGAAAATGGTATACTTACTTTTCTGATTCAAAATCTCCCTGTTCTTCAAATTTTACGGTGTGCCTTATTAATCTCCACTGCTTAATGTCAGGTGTTGGATTCCAGAAAACCTCTGAATTATCAGTCTTTTTGTCATTAATAAAAACTTCACTATCCTACATTTAAAGAAATTTAAAATTAATGTATATTGAGGCTGTAACTTATAAAAAAAAAAGAAAAAAAATTAATGTAAAGAATTATCTTTATTTAGAAGGGGATTATATAGTTTAATAATATATTAAGACTTCCTTCTATTACTTAATTCTCCAAACACATTTTAAAAACAAATATAACCAGCACTTTTCCGAAAGCCCCAAATTTGCTGACATTTTTACAAAAACATGAAAATTAAATATGTAATACTAGTCAATTAAAAAATTAGTTAAATACACAGAAAGTTTATGACATTTCACAAGTTTTATTTAATAAATTTCAAACACTACATGTAAAGTCTCAACAAGTACCTCCAAACTGTCAAAGACTGCACAGTATTTGTTGCAGCTATGAGATGATGTTGACTATCAATGGACTGAATAAATACGTACATACACATGTCTGAAAGAGCCTTTCTGAACAGTAAAAATTTAAGCAAAATTTTAGAAATTTCATTTTTAAAAAAATGACTGCTGCTGTGTCTCCTTTTCCAAATGATATTCAGATAGAAGTCAATTAAAAATTTTTGTCAGAGTGTATGTGGCCACTTAGCTGAGTACCTAAATCCAATTTCATTCTCTCATATTTCTCAGCATTTTCTCCTTATTATAATGCAGAATATGGCACACATTCAATGTTCACAGTGAGGGTGCATCTAGGTAGGCCATGATCCTTTTTATGTATTTAATTAAGCTCCTCTTAATAAAATTACATAAATATGAAATTAGGTCAGCAGAGAAGTGAATAAAAGCCATTGCTCTCATTTACAACTATATCCTTTCCATGTTCCTCTAAAAGAATATAACTCTGATTGGAACCATGCCTCTTTCTTCTATGTGAGAAGCAGCAACTGTAAAAGCATATCCCTGGAGCAAGAGTTCCTGGGCTGGAATTCTCACTCTACCACTTACTTTGAGCAAATTATTTAAACTTTCTGTGCCTCAGTTTGCTTCTCTATAAAATGGAGAAAATAACAAACAACAATTAAATTGGCACCTATGTACCCACCTCACAGGGTTATATTAAATATTAAATAAGTTACTATGAGTAGCATTCTTAAATAATGCTTTACATAGTAAGTGATGTGTGTGTTAGCTATTTCTACTGATTTAAAAATTTCAGTGGCCGGGTACAGTGGCTCACGCCTATAATCCTAGCACTCTGGGAGGCCAAGGAGGGAGGATCACTTGAGGTTAGGAGTCCAAGACCAGCCTGAGCAAGAGCCGGACCCTGTCTCTACTAAAAAATAGGAAAAAAAAAAAGTTAGCTGGGCAATTAAAAATAGAAAAAATTAGCCGGGCATGGTGGCGAATGCCTGTAGTCCCAGCTACTCAGGTGGCTGAGGCAGGAAGATCACTTGAGCCTAGGAGTTTGAGGTTGCTGTGAGCTAAGCTGATACCATGGCACTCTAGCCTGGGCAACAGAATGAGATTCTGTCTCCAAAAAAAAAAAAAAATTTTTTTTGAAAGATAAAATATTACATAAAACTAAATATTGTTAATAACAAAATACCAAAATATCTGCTATTAAGCTGAAGCTTATATTGAATATTGTTGCTTTTAGCAATGGAGTAAATACACTTTTACTTTTAAAATGTGATTATTAATTTCTTCCCACAGAATAAATTCTTTTTGTAAAGCTAATATATAATACTTACCCAGTGGCCTTCCAAAGTAGCTAAGACTTCTTTTCCCAATTTAAGTTTTCCTGATATTTGATTAACACAATCACTACTACCTAGAAATGGCTTTTAAAAGAGAAAATGTTAGGCATTTTATTTTTAATTTATACTTACATATAATATAGACAAAACAAAAAGTAATTGTATAATTATAGTGCTCTTGAAGGCACAAATGGGGAAGTACTGACTCAAATTTTCATTAGAAATGTTTAATAAAAAGAAATTTGAATTGTTGCTGTGGAAAAAATAGGTATTAATAAAAAGAAACTAAATGTATTCAGAATGATCACATTGATAAAAATGACTCATGTCCTATTCTCTCTCAGGGCCTGTGTTCTCTCCTAACCCTCAAATGTTATCATTAAGATAATGTGACATTAAGCAATAACAACTCAGTATACCTAAGAGATTTACTGATCTATTGAAAGAAGTAACACCACCTCCCCTTCAAAACAAAACAAAGTAAAATATATAGCCAAAAAACCCACCAAAAATAAAATTAGAAGGAATATATTTTGAGTTACTATATTGCCTTACTGATGTCTCTCCTTAGGGACAAAATTTTGATACTCCAATATGATACTTAACGGTGTTATATAGATATATGCTTTTGGCCTCTTTCATCATGATATTCAGAACATCATCGTACAAGTAAAAATTTGCTAAGATGAAAGAAAAATCAAACAAAGTGCACTGCATCAAATAATAATTAAGAGATCTTTATTATTAGAGCAAAATTGCTGATCAGCTAGATATCAACACAAGAGCAATTTAAGTAATAAATATTCTGTAGTTCATAGAAATATTTTTATCTGAATATAATTTACCATTCTCCAACAAACAACTGTGGAAAGGTCTTAAATTTCCCTTTCACTCTGAGGCAAATAGTTATTTCCAAAGATCGCCTCGATAATATCTACCCTTTTGCCCTCCGGCCCACACGATGTTCTTCAATGAGACCTTGCCACTCTCCCATTGAGAAGCAGGGTCTACAATCCTTCCCATGAATTTGGGTGGTCTTATAACTCTTCAACTAATAGAAGATAGTGGAAGTAACATAATTTGGCTTTTGAGGATAGGTCACAGAAGGCAAATGCTGCCTCCACTTCACTCACCAGAACACTTTTACTTGAAAACCCAAAACTGCCAAGTAAGAAGTCTATCAAACTTGAAGCTGACATGCTATGAGGAAACCAAACATGGCAGGCCATGTATACAGAGTGCTCAGATTAGCAGCCCTAGTCTTTTAGTCACTCCAGCCCAGGCATCAGACATGTAAGTGATAAGCCTTCAGATGTTTCCAGCCCTGAAGTGTCTAGTTACTTGTAGCCTGCAAGTCTTCCTGAGGCCCCAGACACTGTAGCAGAGACAAGCCAGCCCAGTATGCCCTGGCCAAATTCCTGATCCACAGGATTCATGAGGATCAGAACACAGTTATTTTTAAGCCTGTGAGTTTTAGAGTAATTTGTTATGCAGAAATAGTAACTAATACAACTCTGTCTTAGTGTATACAGCTAGAGCACAAGTTGATACATACCTTCTAGTATTCTGTAAAGCAATGATTTTATTAAGAAATTTCTATATAATCATTTCTTAAATCTCACCTCTTATAAAATATCAACAGTTTTACTGATTAAAATTTAAAATGATGTCTTTGTGTTAATTTGAATCTTCCAAGGCAGCTTAGACTTCCCCAAGAATTTCACCCAGCCTTGCCTTCATCCCTTAGATGCACTTAACCTTGATCTGACTTAAACTGTCTTCTTGTATTTAGTCATTAAGAAACCAAACTGCACTCTTTATTCAGTATTTATAGCATAGTACACATTTAATTAGGTGATACCTACTATCATTCCCTACTAACCTTTAGTTTAAATTCAAGTATTGCACTGTATCCAGTTTTTTGACATGTAATATTGACTGTTCCACCAAGCTCCAGTGTCATTGTGCCATAAAGAATTCCTAAAGAAAAAAATGGAGAGAGAGACACAATGGCCAATAATAAGCGCAGTTTTGTAATCTAATCTCCTTCTAGGAGAAACATATAATTCAAGGGCATTCATCCAATAAAAATCTATAATATAGACATAAAGTTGGTTCTGTAGGATATAAAGAGGTAAAAACTGATCACATTATGCTGATCCACATTATTTGCTGATTCTATATTTGTAAATTCAGCTACTGACTAAAATATCAACAACCATAAGTGCTTCTGTGGTCATTTGCAGACATGTGCAGACTGGCAAAAAACTTGTGCCACCCACTGCACATGTTCCAAGCTGAAGTCAATCAAGGCAATACTTTGCCTTCTTGTTTCAACTTTCATGCTGTAAAAAAAAAAAGTGCCCTTTTACACTATATCTGGTACCATATTTTTGTGCTTTTTGTTGATTTTGCTGTTTAAAATGGACCCAAGTGTAGTGCTAAAGGGCTGTCTAGTGTTTCCAAGTAAAAGAAGGCTGTGATGTACCTTACAGAGAAGTGTGTGTGTGTGTGTGTGTGTGTGTGTGTGTGTGTGTTAAAGCTTTGTTCAGGTATGAGTTTTAGTGTTCTTGGCTGTTAGTTCAATGTTAATGAATCAACAGCATATAATTAATGTTATTATTAAATAAGGTGTCTTTAAACAGAAACACACATAAAACAAGATTATGTATTGACTGGCTGATAAAAATGCTGTGACAAGGGGTTCACAGAAACCTAACCTCGTATTTACCCTGGTAGCAATGGTTCAATATTTGCCAAATCAGTGTTTGTGGTGACTTCATATAACATAACTACTGCAAATAGCAAGAATCAACTGTATAAATATAGCAAGCGTTTAAAACAAACAAACAAACACAAAAAAAAACCAAAATAGGTTTTGTGGCTAAAATTAGGGAAATTATAAATTTAACAAAGTTAAACTGGTTGTGTGTATGCATCTGTTGTAGGACTAAGTTGTTGAGGCATCCTTTAATATGCAAATGTTAATGCTAATTTCCAAAAAAGGAGCAGACTATGCAATGTTTCTCATACTTATTTGTCTATGGAACTCTTATTTTATAAAACAATTTGTGAGACTAGTGACTTGGGGAACACACCTTGGAAAATGCACAGGGTGGAAAACCTTATAAAAATAATCATTTCCTAAGCCCATTCACAAGCAGTTACAATCTCATTTTCTTCACACAATAAAAACATTGTCATACAATTTTTTTTCCCTATTGCTAGTTGGGTATGGCATGGGTATCTACATGGAATAATTTTATTTATTCCAAATGACATAAAATTTAAAAATATATGTACTTATCAATTCATAACTAAAGATATTTCACTTCATGTTTTACTTCAAGAATTACACATGAAACTCTAAGAATCATCTAGCCTGAGGCCACAAGTTGGCCACTTTTGTACTAGTTGGGCTGGCCTTGGATAAGATCTTAACCCTCCCAGGTTTCCCATCTATGAAATGAGGCCATATTAAATCATTTCTGTTTTCATGAATCAGTTCCTAAAATAGAAGATAATTACCAAAAAGTTATTTTTAAGAAATGGGTTGGAAAGGAGGGTACAAATAATGATCAAGCTGAGTGTTTCAGCTGATACAAAGTAGTTAACAGTTCAGACTGCCAAGGTAAACTGCCTGGACTCAGATCTTGACTTTGCTGTATTGTAGCTGTGTGTTCTTGGGCAAATAACCACTTTGCACTTTATTTTTCTCATTCATAAAATAGGGATAATAATATTCCTACTTTTATATGGCTGCTGAAATGATTAAATTAGTTTATAAATGTGAAGCGCATTGAATAGCTGGGTGCTAGTTTGGTGTCTAGCATGTAGTAAATGACAGTTATTATTTAATATCCTTATCTGTATTCTAATAATGAGGGAAAAGCATAATATATTAACTTTAAGAAATTGCCAAATAGGGATGAGAAAAATTTTTGAAAGGACTCAGTATCTTAAAAAATAGTAAATTAAATTTTTAAAAAGGGTGGTGGTGTAAGAAGATGAAAATTGCTTTTAAGGATTTTGAAATAATGGGCAGTTTCATCAAATTTCAAAATTTGCACAAAAGGCAAATGCAAAGAAATTCCATTACCATAAATTACATTTTTCAGACTAAAGTATGTATCACAAAAAGTTCATTATGGGTGAATTAATTCACCACAGAAATATTTAGCATATGACAGCAATAATCTTAAGAATACATAAGCCAAGCATGCTTTCAAACAAATCACAAATCTGATTCCATCAATCTCAAAACATAGTATGGCTATATACATTTATCTAAAAAGTGTTTAAGGAATATCTAATTCAAGTATGGAAATATTTACCTTTACAATGAGCATATGGCATTGTCATTACATAATCTTCGCCTCTATTCAAAAAAGTTAACCTTGCTTCTCCCTCTAATATTGCAGATAATGAGTTTCCTGAAATAAGAATTTTTATTAAATTTCACAAAACTAATTCAACCAATTCAGAACAAACTACATTTAGGACATCTACCAGACATCTGCAGTGAAATGTTTTAAAACTGTCTCAATCTCAATGTGCCCAAACATGTATTCATTACCTTATATCTAAAACATATTTCATCCATATTTTCATTCTTACAAAACAAGTACTTTCAAGAGGTATAGTTATATGCTTGTTATGTTATGAGAGTTATAAGAAATTTTAAACATGTAGAATATTCAACAAAACACTTCCACTGTATAACTTATCTTTTTTTAATATAACATTTTTTATCTGCAAGTCACATTACTTAGTTAAGTCCCAAGCTTTAAATATTGATTAATAATTCTATAGACAATCTAGAAAAAATATACATGAAATACCTAAGTGCAATCAATAATAAAATTTCATAGCATATAAGTCTTACACATCTTTCATTAAATTTATTTCTAAATATTTTATTTGGATACTATTGTAAACAATTTTTTTAAAAATTTCATTCTGCAAGTATTCATTTCTAGTATCCAAAAATACAACTGATTTTTATATTTTGACCTGGTATACTGAGACCTTACTAAATTCACTTATTAGTTCTATTAGCTTTTCTATATATTCTTGAAGATTTTCTATGTAGATCAGGTATGCAAATAGTTTAACTTCTTCCTTTCTAATCTGTATGCATTTTCTTTCTTTAACTTGCCTACTGTATAATAGGCTAGGACTTTTTTTTTTTTTTTTTGAGACAGAGTCTCACTTTGTTGCCCAGGCTAGAGTGAGTGCCATGGCGTCAGCCTAGCTCACAGCAACTTCCAAGTCCTGGGCTCAAGCGATCCTGCTGCCTCAGCCTCCCGAGTAGCTGGGACTACAGGCATGCGCCACCATACCCGGCTAATTTTTTCTATATATATTAGTTGGCCAATTAATTTCTTTCTATTTATAGTAGAGACAGGGTCTCGCTCTTGCTCAGGCTGGTTTCGAACTCCTGGCCTCGAGCAATCCGCCCGCCTCAGCCTCACAGAGAGCTAGGATTACAGGCGTGAGCTACCGCGCCCGGCTAGGCTAGGACTTTTAATACAATTTTGTATAGAAGTATTATAATAACAGTAAGAGTAAACATCCTTGCCTTGTTCCTGATCTTAGGTACAAATTATTCAATTTTCACCTTAAAATTAGGAAGTTGGTTATATATTTTTTGTATATGCCTTTAATCTGGTACTAGTTTGTTGAGAGCTTTTACCCTAAATGTTGAATCCTGTCAAGTCCTTTTTCTACATCTATTGAAATCAAACTTTTTCCCCCTTTATTCTATTAACATGGTGAAGTACATTGCTTGATTTTTCAGATGATAAATCAACCCTGTATTCCTGAGATAAACCCCATTTCATCATGATATATTATTCTTTTAATATACGGATTATGATATATACAACCTTTTTGTATTTATGTGTATATGTACATATGTATTACCCTTTATATATTGATTTAATAATGTTAAGGATTTTTGTATGTATATTCATGAATAATATTGATCTGTAGCTTTCTTTTCTTGTAATGTCTAGTTTGGGGATCAGGGTAATCCTGGTCTCATAAAATGAGGTGAAAAGTGTTTCCTCCTCCTCTATTTTCTGTAAGAAGTTGTTTAGAACTGGTATTATTTCTTCCTGAAATGTTTAGAAGAACTCAAGACACGTGGCCCTGGAGTATATCCTTGAAGGAAGATTTTTAATTACTAAATAAATTTCTTTAACTGTAAGGCTACCAAAATTTTAAACCTCTTCTTGAGTCAGTTTATGTGATTTGTGTCTTTTAAAGAATTTGCCCATTTCATCTAAGTTGTCAAATTTATTGCCATAAAATTATCCATAATATTTACTTATCCTGTCAATGTCTATAGGATCAGTAGTGATTCTGCTTATTTATTCCTGATTTTAACTTTTTTTGATCAGTCTAAAATTAACTGTTGGATGCTTTGACGTTCTGTATTGTCTACTTTCTACACTGATTTCTACTCTTCATTGCTTCCTTTCTTTTACTTACTGTGAGTTTAATTAGCTTTTCTTTTTCTCAATTGGATAAAATGTCAGATCACTGATTTAAATCTGTCTTCTTTTCTAATTAAAATTACAAATTTCTCTCTAAGCACTGCACTGCTTTTGTTGCGTCTATAAATTTTGATATGCTGTATTTTCATTATTGTTTATAATAAAGTATTTTCTAATTTCCCTTGTGATTTCTTTTATGGCTCGTGGATTATATAGAAGTGTTTTAATTTCCAAAGAGTTGGCATTTACCTAGGTATTTTATTTTTTATTTCTAATTCTATTTCTTTGAAGTTGCAGAATATATACTGTATGATTTCAGTCTTGAAATTTATAGAGACTTGTTATTTGGTCAAATGTATGGTCTATACCAGTCTATCCCACAAATGTATAAGAAAATAATGTGTATTTTACAACTGTTTACTGTAGTGTTCCAGAAATATCAATTAGGTTAAGGTGACTAATAGTGTTTTTCAGGTCTTCTATACCTTTGCTTATATTAGGTTACTGTCCGATTTCCTTAAGTACTAAGTTTGACAGTTGGTATCTCAGACATTTCACTTTGACAGTTCTTGTTTTATATTTATTGTGAAGGTACATCCTCAGTCTTTCAAAGGCATGCTTTGGCTTGTGATTATCTTTCAAATATTTTTTAGAGTAATTTTTGTGAAACCATGGATAAGTCAAACATTTCTGTTATTTTCAAATATAGGTTCTGTGGTGGAACCAAGGAAGCGCATACAACTATAAATATCAATGAAGTGTCTGGGAAGAATGTGGCTAATGAACAAACAATACATTGATGGTTTGAGAAGTTCTGTCCTGGTGATTTTAATCTTGAAAATGAGCCACATGGGCAACTTGAGACCAAGGTGGATAATGATGAGCTGAATGCTGTAACAGAAGCAAATCCATCTCAGCCTACATGTGAATTAGCAGCAAGGTTTGATATTACTATTCCAACAGCACTGGACCATTTGAAATAGATGGGCAAGGTAAAGAAGCTGGATAGATAGGTTCTACATGAATTAAATGAGTGCCAGGAAAGAAATTGTCACAAAGCCCAGCTTTCCTTTGCTGTCACAACATAAAGGTGAACCATTTCTACACCTGTGTGATAAAAAATGGATTCTTTTTGACAATTGCAAATATTGGGCACAATGGTTGGATAAAGATGAGTGTTAAAACACACCCTAAAACCGAATATTCATCCCAAAACACTAATGGTGTCTGTTTTCAGTGGTCTAGCACTGGAATTATCCACTACAGCTTCATGAAACCTGGTTGATGGATTACAGCAGATGTCTACTGCAACCAATTGGATGAAATGATGAAGATGCTTGCGATGAAGCAGCCAAGACTGGTCAATAGAAACAGGCCAATCCTCTTGCAAGACAAATGCTTGACCATATTTTGCACAAACAACATTGCTCAAACAGTGGCAGCTGGACTTGGAAACTCTCTGTTATTCACTATATTCACCACACCTTGCACCAACTACCACTTCTTCCAAGCTTTGGACCACTAACAATCTGTGGAAAATGCCTTTTGCAATTTCATCACCACTCACTCTCCAGGCTTCTTTGCTGCTGGCATAAACAAGCTACCATTAAGATGGCAAAACTGTGTCGGCAGTTCAGGTGCATACTTTGAGTAATTGTACTGCTTCTCATATTGAGATATAATAAATATACTTTTAATTTGAAATCAGACATTTCATATTTAATGACCTAATATTTCATCCAGATGCCTATAATTTGCTGGGAGAAGGTGTTAATCTCCAACTATGGTTTTGAAATTGACTATTTTCCTCCCTTTAATTCTATTTTTGCTTAAATTTTGAAGTTCTGTGATTAGACACATAGGCATTTATGATTATCATGTTTTCCTGAGGTACTAAACCTTTTATAAGTAAACGTTCTTCTTTATCTCTGTTAACACTTTTTGTCTTGAAATGTATCAAAAGTCACTAAATTCTACTTATACTTAGTGTTTACAGAGTTTAGCTTTTAACTTTTACTTTCCATTCACTTTCAATCTATTTGTGTATGCATATTTAAAATGTGTTGGTCCCTGCTGTTTTATCCAATTTAACACTCTGTCTTATATTATTTGAGCCCTTAACACTGACATAATCATGATATAGTTGGGTTTTGGGCTACTATTTTACTATGTTTGTTATCTGTCCCCTCTGATTTTTGTTCTTGATCAAATTATTTAAATATTTATAAGTATTTCATTTTAATATTCTTATCGGCTTTTTACCTATCCTTTTTGGTATTATTTTGTGTGTGTGCACATGCATGTGTTTCTTTTAGGCTAGGGCTTCTCAACAGTGGCACTACTAACATTTTAGGCTAGATAATTCTTTTGGGGGGGTGTCCCATGCACTGTAGGATGTGTAGCAGTATCTCTGGCCTCTACCTACTGGATCTCCAAATTGTGAAAACCAAAAATGTCTTTAGACATTGCCAAATGTCTCCTGGGGGGCAAAATTGCCCCAAGTTGAGAACTACTACCTTAGGAATTATAAAAACTTATCTTTAAAATTTCTCAGTCCACTTACAGTTAATATTATACCACTTTATATAAAATAGAAAATGTTGTAACCTCTAGGCCCATTCTCCTCCAGTCCTTTGTGCTATAGTTGTATGTGTTATATCTGCATATGTTGTAAAACTCCCAAAGTTAACATTTTTATTTTGTATAGTATTATGTATTATAAAGACACTGAAAGAAAAAATAAGAAAAAAATGTCTTTTATATTCGACCAGATATTTATTAATTCTAACAATCCTAAGTTCATTCTAGTTAGTAAATTCTTTCAAATTATAAAAGGGACAGATATTTCTGGTGTGTGCAAATTGTACTATAACATAGAAAAAAGAAGGCCAACTGCTGAAGTAATCCAGAAAGTGAGCTATGTACCTGGTATTCAAAAATTTCTACAAGGGTACAATACATACTCATAAAAGCAATTTATGTTATAGTCAGAATAGGGTGGTAGAGGGATTGAGGTGAAGTGGGGAAGAAATAACCCAAATATGAAATATATGTAATCTTTAGAAAAAAAACAAGCAATCATCTTCTGAAGCAAACAAACAAAACAAGGTGAAAAATCCCAAAACCAAACCAAAACAAACATCAAGGGAAATAAAACCTGAAAGCCAAAACAAACCAAACATCAAGGGGAATAAAAGACATCTTAAAGGAAAATAAAGGCATACACCATGTTCCTGGTCAAAATCCACTCTTTGATTTCCCTGTCACAGACTTATCTATGGTTCACCACCCTCTCTGGTAAGTAGACCTTAGATTTCTGTTTACATATGTTACTTTTCCTATTTTTACCATAAGAATGTTTTTCTTGCATGTTTAAAATTCTTTGGCTAAAATTTAATTCTTTGATTTTTCTCCATTAAAAAATTTTAAAAACCAAATAAAAGCATTTAAGGTTATATATTTTCTACTGGTATAGCTTTGGTCATGATTTGTTTGAATTGTTAAAGTTTTTATATTTAGGTTTCCTACTACAACTATATTTCTCTATTTTTCCATTGTACTTGCAAAAATTTTTATAGGTATGTTATTTGGTCCAAGGTTCAGTACCATTACTGATTAACTCTGGGCCAAGTATTTTAACTATACTTGGATTTTTTTCTCTATTTAAAAACTAAAATAGAAAGACTGATTCCTCAGGTACACTGAGACAAAACAAAAAAAATTGCCAGGGCTAAAGGCAAAAGAAATACATACACTAAAGGGCAATAGTGGATATTCATTATATCTTTTCATAAGTGACAGCTGTGATAAATTTGCATATATGTGATGAATTTACATATATATGAATATTTATAAGAAATCAACCACACCTCTATTTATGAATGGGCAGGAAAAGGCCATTATTCAAGAAAAGATGATACTTAAAATGATATATAAATTCCTTGCTGAAAACAGCACATCACACTTATTTAAATAAAAGCTCACCAGAAAATACTACTTCCCAGGAAAGGGTACAGGTTGGGACAGGGGAACTCACCATAAAACTTGGACTTAGCCAGGATGCTACCACTAAGGCAAAATCCATCTTTTCGGTTACTAACATAAAAGGCAGATATTGGTGGATGATGGGACACCTATTAAACACAAGAAAAAAACATAAAAAATAACAAGATAAGCATATTATTGTGCTATTATCAAAAGTTCAAGGCTTAAGCATAAGAGGAAACATTTGGTAAGCAGTAAAATTAAATATTGATGGTTGTAGTTAACCAGCCTCCTGACACCTAAGGAAACTCACCTGGTAGTCACACCATTAAGTAGGGCCCTCTTACATTGTGCCAAAGTTGGTTTGTGCAGAAATGATAGTATGTCACCTCTGAAATTAGGTAACAATGCAACTTCCAACTTGGGAGGTAGGGGTATCCCCTTTTCTCTCTCTCCCTCTCTTTTTCTCTCTCATTAGCTCTGAAAAGCCAGCTTCCATATCTTAAAAAACCCTACAGAGAGGCCCTTGTAGGAACTGAGTTTTTCTGTCAACAGTCACGTGATGAACTTGGAAATGAATCTTCCAGCCCAGTCAAGCATGCAGGTGATGGCAAAAATGGCTGACATCTTGACTGTAATCTCACAAGAAACCCAGAGCAAGAATCCCCCAGCTAAGCAGCAACCATATCCCTGAACCTTATCAGATGAGATAATAAATATTGTTTTGACCCATTCAGTTTGAGCAATAACTTGTCACACAGCAATGGATAACTATTTAGTGATTATTCTTCATATGGATTACTGAACTGGCTGCAGGAAACAAGCAAAAGCTTTGACAAATATGTTATTTAATAATCTAATGTTTTCAATATACTTAAATCATGTTTTCTAAAATGAGACAAAGCCCGAAACAGTTAAATCTATCTCAAGCTTTTCAATTTTGTGAAGACTTATGGTGCAGTAAAATGCAAGGTGGTATAATCTTTAACTTTTTAAAAATTAATATAGATAAGTAGTTTTGACCTGAAAGGTGTATCAATTCTCTAGGGGAAGAGAAAGGTTTTTCAAAGAACACATGGTCTCCTCATTCTCCTTATACTCAACAATCATCATAATAAAGAGCCATTGTTATTGAAAGAAAATGTCATATCCCTCAGACAAGGGAAAAGACTGAGGATCATTAATATAAATGTACATAGGTTTAAATTAATGAAAGTTTAAAATATTTCCTGTCTACTATGTGTACAACAAAAAGGTACCAATGGAGAAGGGATATCCCTTTAAGGAGCTAACAATTCAATTGGGGAAATAAATATTCTGTAAAATGGTAAACCATACAAGTATTAAAATAACAGCTTAATGGATAATTACAAAAAGTAATTCAAAAGTTTGAGAAGGGAAAAATCACTGGGAGCTGCAGTCATCTGGATCCTGAAGGATGACAGGTCAAGGTTTGTTTAGATGAAGAATAGCTGAGAAGAAATACTGGGGTTGGAGAATTACATTTAAAAACAATGAGGTAAGAAAGTGCAAGATCAAGTTACCTAGTCATGAATACATAGGTCTGACTACAGTGAAGGGCCAGAAAAGCATTTAATTTGAAATAAATTTGGGGACAGGTGTAGTGGCTCATGCCTGTAATCCTAGCACTCTGGCAGGCAGAGGCAGGAGGATCACTTGAGCTCAGGAGATCAGCATAAACAAGAGTGAGTCCCCATCTCTACTAAAAGTAGAAAAATTAGCTGAGTGTGGTGGTATGCACCTATAGTCCCTGGTACTTGGGAGGCTGAGGCAGGAGTATCACTTGAGCCAAGGAGGTTGCAGTGAGCTATGATGATGCCACTGCACTCTACCCGGGTGGCAAAGCAGGGAAAAAAAATTTGGAGGACCCTGAATGCCAGATAAATGGGTATAAATTTTGAAACTGGAGGACCACTGAAGAATTTTGAACATGATCAAAAAGGCGTTTTGGAAATAAGGGTTTGGCAAAAAAGAAAAAAGAGTGGGGGGAGATAAGAAAGGAAAAATAAAAATTTTAGTAGTAATACTACTAAAGTACTTAACAAATGTGCACTAATAAGAAAGGTTAAACAACAGTGAGTTTATGGAGTTAATATATTCTATAAAAATATCTCAATAATTTCCAGATTAGTTTTGTTTCTGTAATATGCATTTCTAATACCTGTTCAGCAATATAAAATGTTTTGCTGTTTGTCCTGGGATGAATCCATAAACAACGGAAAGTCTCACCAAGGATAGGATTATAAGGTTTCTTCAGTCCCTAATAAAAAAACATACAAGTTTCAAATTACAAATATGGAAGATTTAAACAAGTCAAAACAGGTTTAACTGTGTCCTCTGGAAACCCTCCTTATAAATGAAATCTATATAAAATAAAATTAAATGACTTTAATCATAAGTCAGGTCTAAATAATCAAATATTTTACAATTTTGCTAACTCAAAGAGGCCAAGTAATGTAACTGTTAATGAATAATTTAAAGATTACATAAAATATAAGGAACTCAAAAGGCTAAAGACAGTAAAATATCAACATTACCTTTGGCTTCTTATAGAATCCTGACAAATACCATTTCACTACTTTCTTCAAACGGAAATAAGGATTTTCTTCAAGAGCAGCGCTACAAAACAAAATGGTAAACAAAAATTTTACAGAATATATCACAAATCCCTTTCTTGTTTATCAACCAATAACTGAATATGAGATATGATTAAAAAACATAATTCATATTTAAAATAGATGGCAAAACAAGAATGTAAACCAATTTCCAAGAATCATTTTTCTCAATCTTGTCACTTTTCTCCCCATTTTTCCTATTCTTTGATACATTGCCCAGGTCTTTGCTGAAATAGTTTTTGGAAATTCTCCAAACCAAGATTTCTGAAGTGGGGTGCTACAGAAACTGAGACGTTGCTCTGTAGAGAAATTGGTATTGAAAAAAACTAACAGATTTTGAGATTCGTGTGCTATGTGATGCCTAGCATGCAAAATGATGGGCAGTGGCCAAGCAGTCCCATTAACAATTTTGTTAGAGGTTTTCAGCCATGTATATCAGTGAAGGACCAATGTTCTCTTACTTGAATCCTTTCTCAGTTGTTGATGTTAGAGAAGATCAATGCTAACTGCTGGGTGCTGTAGTACATGGAGGGAAAGACAATGCTAAACCTCTTCTGTGCAAATTACCTCCTTCATTATAGCATTTTATGGGTTTGTAGTGTCCTTACTACAAAATACAGAAGTTTCAAATTACAAATGTGAAGAAGAGGTCAAATAATTTAAATCAGTCCAAAAGGTTTTAACCTGTTTTTATCCTTCAACCCACCCTATGTGCTACCAACTGACTTTCCAGAGTTAACAAACTCTACCAGTATAACAGATAATCAAAGAGTAATTTTTATTTTAAAGATGTAATTAGTAGGAGCCATGACTCACCTGTCCTCCCTGCAATTTCGCTGTTGTTGAAAACACCGTGTATTTTAGAAGTGGATTCTATTGAGAAGTTGTGGGTGTTTTTGTTTATGATGAAGCTATTAATTTTGCCCTTATTTATAAAAAGGCATTTGTGTTTCCAAGCATGTTCAATGTGGTGATTTCTGAAGATGATGCATTACAGAGGTGGGGAACCTGTGGCCTTAAGGTGACAAGTGGCCTTGTAGGTCCTTAAGTGCAGCCTTTTGACTGAATCCAAAAGAAAAAATCCTTTTATTAAATAAGGTACGGCAGAGAAAGATGCTTTTCTTGCCTCCTTTGGTGCTTAAAAAAGAAGAATCTTGAAATCAGAAGGCCCACAGGTTCCCCACCACTGGCTGTGCTAAGTTGAAAGTTTGTACTTTTCTGCAGTAAAACACTCTGATTGCTCTCTTCCTATCTTGGTTTAAATTCTCTTACTATGTAATATTATTTTAAAATTTACATATACATAGTTCAACGGTCAAAGCATTTTTAAAGAAGTGTACATGTCTTACTACTGTTCCATTTCTCCACAGTGTTTCTACTTACCTCCTACAGGTAACTTTTTTAAAGCTTTTTTAAAAAAGTTATCTTTAAGCATAAATAAGCAAATATAAATACACAGTCCTGATTTTCAAAAAAAACAAAAAAGAAAACAAAAAAGGTAACAAACTACACATTCTTCTCTACCTTGCTTTTTTCATAAACATAATCCTGGAGATCCCATCATATCTATTTATAGAGTTTGTCCTAATATGTGCTAATGTACTGTACATTATCTGACCAGTCAATAATGGCTGGATGCTTGAGTTGTATCTAACGTTTTACTATTACAAACCCTGCTATGACAATCTCATATGTATGTCACTCTGTATATGTGGAGTTATATCTGTAGGAGTTATCCCCAGGAGTGGGATTACTGGATCAAATGATGAATGCATTCATAATTTTGGTAAATACTGACAGATTCCTTTCAGGATATGGTGCTAGTCAGTATCACCTATGGCAGTGTATAAGATTGCCTATTGCTCCACAGACTTTTGGCAACAGTTAGTGTTGCCAGAAAATGACAACCTTTCTATTTGGTAAAATGGGCATCTCTCAAAAAGATCTTACTGTGATTCATAGGAACCCATCTTTTATTCCAACAGAAATGAATTTCTAGACAGATAAAAGAACTACAGAAGATATTAGACAGAACTGAGGTATACAAGCCTTTTGAATTTTTGTCAATGTGATGGATAAACAATGGTAACTTACAATAGTTAAAAAAAAATTTTTTTTTTAGAGACAGGGTCTCACTCTGTCATACAGCTGAAGTGCAGTGGTGCTATCATAGTTCACTGTAACCTCAAATTTCTAGGCTCAAGCAATCCTCCCTACCTCAACTCCTGAGTAGCTGGGACTACGGGAATATGCCACCACACCCAGCTAATTTTTTAATTTTTTGTAGACATAGAGTCTTAGTATGTTACCCAGGCTGGTCTTGAACTCCTGACCTCAAGCAATTCTCATGCCTTGGCCTCCCAAAGTGCTGGGATTACAGGCATGAGCCACTGCACCTGGCTATAGTTTGAATCTACATTTTTCTCATTTTGTATGAGGTTTCACATGTTTAAGGTCTGTTTCTATTTCTTCATTTTTGAACTGCCTAGTCATTTCTTCTACCCATTTTTCTAAAGGTTGTTAATCACTTTCAATTTCTAAGAACTCTTTGCATTTTAGGGAGATTAATACTTTATGACAAAACATACCAAAATTTCCCAGTTTATTAATTATATTTTGACTAGGCTTATGATTTTTTTTCAATGTTCACTGATCTTGATTCAGAGTCTAAAAATCAGGTCACAGGGCCAGAAATTAGTATTATATAAAGTACAGTGCCCTGAAACGCCACTGCTGCTAGACTGGGGGCAGCAGGTGAGAACTGGAAGCATAGGCTAAGGTGCTATTCTTTGCAAAGTTTACTGGTTCTCCAAGAAATTGCTGGATGAGAGATAGACAGTTTCTCCTCTGACTCCTTTATGCCTGCTTCTTCAGAATTACACCCTGGATCAGCTGGCAGCTTCAGAAGAAAAGCAAAAAGAGTAAGAATTTATTGTAAAAGCCAACAACTGGCAAAGCATTCCAGTTTAGTAAGCTGCACATGCCTCACAAGCATGCAGAGAGATGAGTATGAATAAAGCACAAACCCCAGGATGGAACCTGAATGAAGGCTTGGGTAGGGGCAGAACAAATGATGCCAAACCACCTCTCCCTGTGTTAGTTTAGTGAACAGGTCAAGAGGCTAATAACAGCAGTGTTGTTGGCTGAGGGGTAGGAATCCTGTCTTCCTCAAACTTATGGTCTCTCAATTCAACTTCATAAATGGAAACATTATAGCAAAATATTAAATATACTTCTTTTTAAGGCTGACTATAGACGTGGTAGAAAAGAGAGAGTGATGTTTCATTACAGCTTGATTTTGGGAAAGAATAATAATTGAAAATAGCATTCTAAGAATCTCTAAAATCACAAAGTATTTTTCTATTTTAAGAAATAAGAATATATATATATATATATCCACTTACTCAGATAGGAAATCTGCATGATAGTAGTAATCTGAAAGTTTATCCAGGAAAGAACGGGGTTCCAGTATAAATGTAGGCAGAACCACCCTGGACAGGTCCATGCCAGGACGAACTTGTTTCAGCAGTGTCCAGATAAGGCTTTTGTTTTCTTCAGACACAGTTTCTGTTTGAGAAGCCTCACCTGCCTTTAGTAATCAACAAAAATTACTGAAATATTATAATTATTTCACACACATAGATATGTAAACAAGAAGGCTAATGTTGAAAATATGAATTCTCTTCACAACTACTCCCAGCATTCTTAACACAGGGAAACAACCCTTTAAATAATAATTAAAGTCTATAGCTCTAAAACTTAGGTAAACAGGGTAGTTGAAAGAGACAAAGTGGACAATATATACAAAAGGTCCGCTATAAAAAAAAAAAAATCACAGCTTATTCTTCTATACTGTATTTATTTTCATGCACTGACAATAACAAAGTTATAAACTCATGTTTCCTTGCAATTAACTTTGTACCTGGCAATGAATGACATTAAGCAATATCCTATTTCAAAAGCAAACCTTAAGAAAATGTAAACCTTAAATTTAATAGAATATATTGGTATTTGTGAGTGTATGTGTTTAGCTGTTAATAAATCTTGATACATTTCATATATATGCAACTTTTAAAATAAAATACGTATCATATATTCTTTTTCAGAAAAATAAGCAATAGGTCAAGCAAATAATATCTTCAATTTCATACTAAAATTCCCAAGAATTAGAAAATCAGAATCTGAAAATAAACTTTTACCTCTCCAAGTTCTTCATGGCTCTGTTCAGTGTAGGTAGTCTCTTTTAAAGGCTCAACAGGCTCAGGTTCAATATATGAGTCATCTTGCCTTTCTGATGTATCCGTGTCACTTTCTTCACTTTTCCCCATCACCTCATTGTCAGACTCATCATGTTCTTGATCATTTTCTTTATCAGATTTATCAGAATACATATCTTGGTCCTTAAAATGTTGTCGTTCAATTTCACTATCATTTAACCTTTAGGGAAATTATTATTAGGAGGAAGAATAAAGTAGGTTAAGAATACTTAACTTATAAATAATAATGATATATTAATATTTATTGAGAATTTACTATATGCTGGCCACTGTTCTAAGTATTTTATATAGTTTTCACTTAATCTTCCAAATAACCTTAGGAGATAGGTAATATTATTATTTCATTTTACAAATTAGTAAACAGAGGCACAGAGAAGTTAAATAAAAACCTGGAGAAATTTTAAAAGATGACACTCTAACCTCTTTGCTTCTCTACCACTTAGGGCTAAAATATTCTAAAAGCAGAATTTTAGACTACCACTTGGTAGATTTTTTTCTTAGTTTTGCAAACATCATCACTTGATTCATCCTCACTGTCACTTCTGGTCTAAAGAAAAAATTCAAGTCAACATCATCAGGTTCTTAGGTGAACTCAAATGAATTATGACTTTCTATTCATAAAGGTGTCCAAAGTCACTCCAAATCAGTCCATGAATAAGACGTAAAAGGTAAGTAACTGTATTAAATTTGTCTGAAAGATCTAATCTTGAGGAAAAGTCCAGGGAGAATTAAAAATGAAAATTTCAGCTTAAGAAAATGAACCTAAAAGCCTATAATATGTAAGTTCTGCTATACCTACCCTATTCTCACTTAAAGTGATTAGAGTGAATAATTTGTATAAAGGGGTGGGAAAGTCTTGGGAAGAGGTCCCAACAAATACCCATTCCTGTGATCAGTTGCGACCCACTCTATCCTACTCCATCCAGGCAGCAGATATTGGGATTAAGATAAAGGCCTAGATTGTAGGTTTGCAAAGATAAAATTTTTGTAAAAGATCAAGTAAATGGAGGTTTTAAAGAGACTTTTGTTTTGTTTTGTTTTTTAAATAGAGTTAGGTAAAAGAATAAGAGAAAAAATTGTTTGACTCAGGCTACACAGAGGAGAGTAGCAGTCTAACTTTGAGGAAATCAACCTCAATGTCAAATGGGAATAAGTAAACTAAGGGATAGGGAAAGGGAGGAAATGGGAAAGTCTAATGTTTTTCCTACAAAGCAACAAGAGACCTAAACCTCAACAAAGTCTTTGTATTACTGCCTGGTTTCCCTGGATAACTTTTTTTTTTTAATTTAATTACAATGAATGCTTCAGGGAATAAAACCACAAATAGTATATAGTTCCAATTCCAAATATTATATAAAAGAATTCCACAAATGCCAGTAAGTACAGTGGCATTACAAAAAAAAAAAAAATTGTTATTCTGTAACAATCAAAAGACAGACTGTATCTCATTGTTACGAGACGGGAGCACATATATCTGAGACCAGTCTTGAAGAACATACAGATTATGACAGAGGGAAAGAACAAGGAGGAATAGAAGTCATTCTTAATGATTATCATTCTTAATGGAAGGTATTCCATGTACAATGACAAGGTAGATAATCAGCATGGTTCTATGCAGGAAAGATAAAGTAAATGACACTGGAGTCAAGGAAATAAATTTCTACACTTGATGACAACAGCTAAACAAATTTTAAATAGGGCCTAAGGCCATATAATGGGGAGAAGATAGGCTAGTTTTAATACTAGATACACTACCAAAATTCTAGGCCTGCCAACTTAGTGAAAAAACACAGTATCATTACCAGATTAGTGGCAGGATCTACTTACTGGAAGTTGTCACCACTATGGAGATTGTTAGCACGTAATAAGCCATACAAAGTCACATGTGTGCTATCTGATGAAATGCTCAGGTCATGTTCCTTCCCTTCCCTGATCATTGTACGTTTAAGAAGACTAGAACATTTCAAAGCCAACTCCAAAGCATCCATCCAGCACCTTCCTAGAAGAACACAGATTCATAAGTAGTATAATTTTAAAAACCATGAAACTAGTATGCACCTTAATTTAGCCTTGTTACCTTTAAACATTCCATTTTTTTCTTTGAGAAACATGCAGTAGAAAAGTTAATCTGAACATAAAATCTCGCTAGTATTTCTTAATGTAATCTTTCAGTTTTACAAATGCTTTTTACATACTAAGCATCTAGAAACCACTAATAGTATACAGCATGCATTAGAAAGTACAGCCCATCTAAAACAAATGTCCTTTATTTTTCAAATCTTAAAACAGTAACATGCATCATAATTTCAAGGTGTCCAGCAAGGTACACAAAATATACTGGAGGGGTTATGGTTCTACTATAAATAACTATCTGAAATAATGTTTTGTTGTTGATAGGTCTATCCTCAAGCTTGGAATCCATACTACCTATATGTATGACAATTTTTAAGTCAGGGAGGTGCTTATATAATGCTGTCACTAACTGCCATATTAGTTAAGAGAAATAGTAATAGCTTTATTTTTTAAATTAAAATTTAGAACTGCACTAGCAGAAAAATTTTCATATATATTTGTTCAGTGCTCTTAAAATTCATATATATTTGTTTCAAGATCTGCTGGAAATATCAGCCAAGTAAAACATTTTCATACCAAAAACTCATGCCTTCATTTTAATTAAAAAAATAATTATCTGGTAAAAGTAAACCTTGGAAAGTTACAGAGTCCCTATGCCACACATGTCTAAACTATGAAACATGAAAGTGAGGAAGAAATTCATTATCAATTATTAAGATTGTAACTACGTTTTACTCTTATCTTTGCTTCATGAACTAAATACTAAGTGTGGAATAAAAAAGTTTGTACGTGATTATCTTCTTATGTAAAAAAAGAAAAAAAACCCCAATGTATATGTCTCATAAATGCATAAATGTTAATATTTAATAAAATATAAATAATAGTATTAAATGTATCTCTAAAATGATAAAAATGAGTTAGCACAAAGACCACTAACAAGTAAGTTAATATGTCAATGGAAGATGAAAAGAAAACTCTGAGCTGCTAACTCATCACTCAGTCATATAATAGTTTCTTCCTATCAGATTTCCCTATTTGTCTACCTTATTAATAATAATATAGTGTTCTAAGCAATTTATGATTATAATACTTCTGCTGCAAATGCCATACTGAAAACAGATTTCCCAAGGATAATATAAAGTGGTATACAAAATAAATCCTTAAAATTGAAGACCAAGATCCAATCCATCAAAAACTATATTTACCATCTGACTCTGAAGTAGCTCGTATGATCAAATAACTGCTGGGTAGGGGCTGAGTTATGGATCCAACTGCTTCACCTTTTGGACCCTTAATAACAAAATAAAAAAAATAAATGCTGTATAGTAAGTATTATGAAATCTCAACTCTCAACTGTATTGTTCACTATTATCTATAATAATCTAAATCAGGCATGGATTATAATTTAAAAGTAAACAAGCTTTAATCATATACCTCCTTGGCATAAAATTGAACAAATGATAGTTATCATCACTTAAATATTACCTCTACATATTGCTTACATATTAAAGGCACCTAAAATTTACCATACTAAACACCAAATTGTAATTTAACAGAGAATTTCCATCCCACAGTTACTACTAGCTAAGAAATACTAAATTTCTAGAAGCCTAAAGAAAACAGCTGGAAATAATTTATAAATACGTAAAAAATTCAAAGAAAAAAAATGAATTTTAACTGGGTCTAGAGAAAAGTGAATCTCCATTTTATAACCAATGATATATACTTGTTTTTAAAGATCAATTATAAAAGCTAATTTTATTTTTCCAGAAACAGGAAAGAAAAAGGAATTTTGTTGTTGTTGTTGTTATTGTTGGCTAGCGTTATTTGTCTTAGAAGTATACAACCCCAATAAGAATTGGTATCACCAAGGCTAAACTTAGGTCCTTAGGTAGACACAGATCTTTTTTGAGAAGAGGTTTTGCTATGGTCCCCAGGCTGGTCTCTAAACTCCTGGGGTTAAGCGATCCTACTGCCTCAGCCTCCTAGATAGTTGGGATTACAGGTATGTGGCACCAAGCCCGACATCATCCTTATGTAGAAAGAAAACTAAGCATTGAATTTACAGTATAGTTTTGATACAATAGCATACATTTTAAGTTGTTTTGAAAGGGTTCTTTAAGGTTATCAGGTCAAAGAATAAAATGGATTTCAAGCAGCATAAACATTAGAAAGTAAAGATGTAGCTTAAAATGAAAAAGCAGAAAAAAATCAATATGACTTTAACAAATACTGTAATGCCCTGGGAATTTTCAAACAGTTTCATAATTTATGGGCCAGTTCCTACAACCAGTATAGAGTAGGACGCAGAGTCCTGCTTAGGTTTCAATATTGGCTCCATGCTAGAAAAATTACCTTAGTAATAACTTCTTTAGGCTTCAAATTGAAAGTAATTTTGTATAATGGGAGGAAACTGTATACTCCTCATATGTATGAGAATCAGATAAAAGATTCCATGTAAAATGCTCAAAAAAGAGTACCTGACCAAAAGAACTTATGAATGTTATTTCTTAATCATGAACATAAGCTTTCAAAATGTTTAAATGATGTCCCTAAGTAGGTTTTGCTTGTGGGGAATATTCTGATGTTTACACAGTTGTACAAATTTCCCTCTCTTCCTCTAATATTTGGAATTTAAATAACTTTGACATTAAAATATTTTAATGATTTTAAAATTCATTATAATTCTTATAATTCCTAAAAGTAGTAGAATAAAATACTATATAATAATACATTTGAAAGTCATTTTCTTCACATGAGAAAGAATCACATGATACATAAATATCAGAAGTTCTACGGGTTAAATTCTTTCCCCTGTGGGAAGTGCCTAATCCCAGAATGGAAGTAACTCTGCTTTTATGCTTGCTATGACTTCAGACTAGTAAAATTAAAAGTCCAGATATTTTCCTAGGTGTATGTACACTGCCCAATTAAGCACTACAAAACAAACAAACAAAAAAAGGTGAAGCTAATTCTTGTTAGCCTGAGTTAGGTCGTTTTCCTTAAAGGAGTTCTAAAACCTTTATTCAAGTATAACTGACCTTCTTAGAAACTATTAAACTAGGCTCATTTATTTATTTACTATGTGCTACATGCTTAATGTCTGTAGAATTCCTTGGTAGTTAACCAAATAAGGCATTTCCATTTCCACTTATTTCTGCTTTCATAGCACAGGAGTGACCACAGTAATGCTTTTTAGTTATGAAACTAATGCAGCTCCAACTTTAAAGAAATCTGCCTCCCCCCTTAAAACTAAGTAGGACTGCTTCTGCTTACAGGTTTCCCATCACATATTTAAATCACTACAGAAAAAAAACACAAAAATAAAGGGCAGTTTCCATTCTAAAGGAATCTTACCATTTTGATAAAGAGGAAAAAACACCCAGGTAATATGATACAATGTTACAAAGCAGAGTTATTAATAGCAAACATAAACTGAAAAAAACCTTAGAACAAACTGAAATCTCAAGAATTAAAAAAAGATAATAAGAAAGCAATATAAATTTGAGAAACATTTCTGGAGAAATTTTTAACGTGGGATCTTAAAAGTAAACAAAGCCTTTGGGCACACATTTCATTGTGGGTAGAGACAGAATGGGGAATAATGCATTTGAAAGCAGAAATAAATTTATAAGTTCCGCCTGGCAGAGGACAGAAATCACTTGAATGATTTATTTCAATTCTACTCAAATTTTGTCATCTTTACCTTTTACCTATGTAACAAGTGCTTACATACCTTCACTGCCCAAATAGATTGTTCCAAAGGATGGAAAAGTTTAAAACAAAAGCCATCCTTTTTTGATGGACGCTCAATGATTTCACAGGCGTTCAGAAGGACCGTTCCTACCCATTGACCATTTTTTTGGGTTTTATAGATGAGTAGCACCCCAGGTTTCAACACGCACCACAACTTGGTCCAGCTCTTTAGAGTACCACGAATCTACAGAAAGACAAGTTTATTTTTAAAATAAAGATATGTTTTTCTCTTTCTGTTCTTTAAGATATAAACTGAAAAATGGCAAATAAGATATTTTAACCTAAAATTTCCATGATATGTACACCTCAGATTTAATAGATTTTTTTTTTAAAGCTACCATATGGCAAGCACTGCAAATAGACATGAAAATGACATCGTTCCTGCTTCTAAAGAACTTAAATTTTAGTGTGAGAGTAGGCCAACAGTTTCAAAATAATGTACTAAGTAGAATTGTTTTCCTACCTTCCCTGACCAGGTCAGGGACCATGAAAACACACTTCACTAGTATGAGATTCTTCTTATTGTAACATCTATCATAGCTATAACTTTGTTTTTGTGAGTATATGATTATTCTGCCTATGAAAAATTTCCCCCTCACCACTGCATCAACAGTACTCAACAGTGCTGAAAACACTGCTGGCACAAACCAGGCATTCCCTAAATATTTGGTGAGTGGTAGGAAAAGAAAAGAACCTCCTCCTAGCCCTTAAAATTACCTTCTCTAAACATTTTGTTCTTAGTAATTACATAAAGTGTGCCACATAAATGTCTCAGGGAAAATTTTAAAAGACAAGTTACATGAATCTCTATTCTCATAAAATGTCCCTCATCCAGGGGTTTAATGCTATGTCAATGATAAGTCTAAAACTAGTTTTTTCTATCAATTTCTATTTTTGTAATCTATTAAAATTGTTTCTATGCAACTCACTGAATTCAAAATACTGAAAGGATGTTAATATTTAGATTAAAAAACAGGAATTACCCTCACTTTTATTTATTGTAAAACATCTGTTCTTTTTTTAATGTACTTATATTAAGTATGAAATAAATACAGACTCCCTAACCCTCAAAATAAGCATAGCAAAGTAATGCTAAACAAGAAAAACTTAGAAAGGGGGAGTTTGGAGCCCAGTATGAAGAAAAGAAAAAAATCTTTAAGAACAGGTATGTGTATATTTAAAAGAACAGTAAGACATGAGAAGTGAAAGGAAGAGAGTTACCCTAAGATAACATTTTGGATCATGGAAATGTGACAGTAGAATACAGAGGGAAAATTATTAGAAGGGAAGGTTAGGTTTAGAAAGTCAGCCATGGACTGTATTGGGGACTTATAGAGGGTAGATTTAACTCTGAAAAATCCAAGTGAGATCTGGAGTTAATATACTTCTAAGTATATTAAGAAAAAGTAAGTCAGAAGGTGTTTTTAGCACAAGATTGAAGAACACCCTGGTATTACTTGAATTGTCAGGGATACTATTACTAGACTCCCATTTTAGTGAAAGAACTAATATGACAGATCTCATAAGGGTTATTAGGCTAAAGTTCTGCTGTCTTACCAACTCTTGGGGAACGTGGAAAGCTTTCAGTGAATGCCAGGTACTAAAACTTTCTGTAAGTCAGAGTCCTACAAGATCACTCTTAAAGTTACAATCAGTATGAAAGATTACTACCAGCTATCCTTCAGACATGAATGAGAAAGAAGATATATAGTGACTGGGATTAGAGAAAAAGAAATAAAAATAACCAGAGCTCAAAAGAATAGGGCATGGAATAAGAATATGTGTGTTTGTCTGATAATTTTTATATTAACATTGCCTATTCTCTTCTTAATAATCCATATACCAAGTCTACAGTAATACTTAACAATAATTTAAATAGTGAACAAAAAAATTTTAGACCATATTATATTATACAACATATCACACAAATCAAGAAGCCTTTTTAAAAGAACTGTTATACTGTACATATTTAATGCTACTATTAAGAGAGACATTAAGGTTCCTTCTCCCATTAAGACTGGAGCATAGAACCTCTGGGCTATAATTAGTAGTTTCTTTGCCAGGGAAAAACAGTCGGCCTAGAAGTTTTGTCTTTGGGCTTTACCATTCCAGAGGCAAACATTCAGCAATTTGAATTCAAAAATCAATACACTGACCTTCAACCAATCGGCCATAACAATAACAGAAGGATCTGTAATAGTACTGAGTAACTCCTTTGTGGCTCTTTTCTTTTCTTCTCGGTAATTTTTCTTTTGCACCTATTTTATGGAAATGATAGAAAAATTAAAAACTCAATAGAAATGAACAATCTTTCAATTTTTTAGGTATGTGGAATATAAAGTAAAAAATTCTAAACCTCTAGAATGCTAGCATTTTAGGATTAAAAAAGTATACTTTGTTTTAGAGCTGGTAAAGTTTTAGACAGTCTAGGTTAGAATCTAGTTTTTCTGATCATTAGTCTAGTTCTTTTTAAAGAATTTTACTTGTTTTAAAATATATAATGCATGAATACTTGTATTATTCATGTGTTATTTACATGTATTATAATATTTACATCTGACGGTAAAAATCACAACCACCACAAATCTAAAAGCTATCTTTATTACATTCCATCTGATTCCAATCCTCAGAATTGACCACTGTTAACCTTCCGGAACACGCTATCCTTTCAGACCTTCCCTGAGTACACAACCTATAGAAATACACAGGTTTTGTGAGGTTTTTATTAACACTTAGAAAAAGTTCCCCCATTCAATATTTTAAAGAGTTTCCATGTCTACCTTATTCTTTTAACTGCTACACAGGATTCCTACTATGAATAAAATAACAAGAGAACTATAACACAAAATCTTCCACCAGAAAGTTGCATTTCGAGGTAGACTTCACACACTATACATAATAAAATTTTAATAATTCTATACCCAAAAAACTTTAGACTTTTGATCTTTATTAATATATCAGAATTAAGGGATTTAATACGAGACTGCAAATGCACACAGAACCAGGCATGGAATACAAATGGGTAAAACAGACTAGTCACAGACCAGCGCCAGTTGCAAAGCATGTGTTTCTTAAGCTCCAGGTTCTGTGGCCATTTAGGAAGGCAGGCTCAATACTACATAATATTTCTTAAGAGAAATCAGAAGTCTGGACATGTAATTGTTGGCTCAAATATTTAAAACATTATACAGGCTGAACAAAATATATCTGCCTTTGGGCTCATGACCCAGCAGTTAACAAACTCTACAATAATTTCAAGAGGCACCAGAGTTTCCCATCAGGTGTTCCACAACATACTGATATGCCTGGCTTCGGTATAGCTGTGTAGAGATATCAAGTGCTCAGCCCCAGGTGAGGCCTGAATTGGCCAGGTGAGGACTAAAGTGGCCTGTTCTGAGATAGTCATCAAGCAGCCTTATCAGGTGACCCCAGTGTACCACACAAATATCAACATTTTCTATCTGTGCCTGTCAGTACCTCTGGATTTTTTTTTCTTTCTTTGGAAACACACATATATGCTTCTTTATCTTATTTGCCTATTTCCAAAAGCACATGCAAAAGCACAATATAAATTATCTTCCAGAAATAACTGTGAAAACTAACCTTAAGAGATTCTTTTTTTGTGAGCTTGCTTGAAGTTGAACTGTCCTTCTCTGAGCCATTATAAAGTTTAGATTCAGACTGAAGTCATATAGAAATGAACAGAAGGGAAATAATTAAAACTTTCACTTATTCTACACATCACATGAAAATTAATGTGAAAGCTATGTTTGTGATTCTTGCCATTTATTGCTAGGATTTAAACAAATGTCTATTTTCAAATATCAATGTTCTCTATGTAATATTTTTGTTTAAAAATAAATCCATGTTAAACCCACAAATACACAGAAGTAAAAACTAATCAATAAATTAATTTATAATGTGAAGTTAAATAACATCATTTATAAATTATTATGTTCTATTTTTCCAGGGTATTTCTAAGAACATATACAATTATGTATTAGTTAGGACAAAAGTAGGCAAAGCAATACTATTTTTTAACAGTTGAAGTATTCTAAATAAAAAACCAAACCATGTAAATTCTAGCAAGTTGGTGCATACATTGCCCTGTTGCTACTCTTCCTCTAATAAGAAGAAATAGAAACATCTCTAGAAACTAGTATTTAGGTTATTAAGTATGATATGTCTGATTTCCTTAAGTACTAAGTTTGACAGTTGATATCTGACCTTTCACCTTGATACTTTTTTTTTATTGTGAAGATACACACTCATTCTTTCAAATGCACATTTTGGCTTGTGGTTATCTTTCAAAAAAAATTTTTAGAACAATTTTTGGAAAACCATGGATAAGTCAAAAACTCATGTTAGTTTTGAATATGAGTTCCATTGTGGAACCAATGCAGTGCAGACAGCTTGAAATGTCAACGAAGTGTTTTGGGAGGGTGTGGCTAATGAACGCACATTATGTCCAACAATAATGGACCATTTGAAACAAACTGGCAAGGTAAAGAAACTGGATAGATGGGTAACGCATGAATTAAATGAGCATCAGAAGAGAAATCTTCTCAAAGCTTGCCTTTCTTTGCTGTCATTACATGAAGGTGAACCATATCTACATTGTACTGTTACATGTGATGAAAAATGAATTCTTTTTGACAATCACAGCATTCAGCATGATGGTTGGATAAAGATGAAGTGCTAAAACAGAGTCCAAAACCAAATATTCATCCAAAATAGCTAACGGCGTCTGTTTGGTGGCCCAGCGCTGGTATTATTCACTATAGCTTCATGAAACCTGGTCAATCAATTACAGTGGATGCCTACTGCAACCAGTAGGATGAAGTGATAAAGATGCTTGTAATTAAGCAGCCGAGATTGGTCAACAGAGACAGACCAATCCTCTTGCAAGACAAAGCTCAACCATATATTGCACAAACAACGCTGCTCAAACTTTACCAGCTAGACTGGAAACTCTCTGTCATCCACCGTATTCACCAGTCTTTGCACCAAATGACTACCACTTCTTCCAGGCTTTGGATCACTTCTTGCAAGAAAAAATATTCAATTCTCAACAAGCTGTGGAAAACACCTTTCATAATTTCACCGCCATTCACTCTCTAGGTTTCTTCACTGCTAGCATACGCAAACTACCTTTAAGACGACAAAAGTGTGTCAATAGTTTAGGCACATACTTTGATTACTTGCTCTGCTTGAGATACAATAAACTAAACTTTTGATTGTAAATTGTAAATTTCATATTTAATTGATTTTAAACGACTCTATCTAATTTTAGCGTGTATTCTAGGAATACACCAATATTCCTAGAATATCACATTGTTTACTCCCATGTTGATAGCATTTAACAATGTCCTAAACATATAACAATATTCCTAGGATCTACTTCTTCTTATGTATGCAGTAGACCTAAATTATTATTAATGTCTTAACCTTGTCTCCAGACTTTCAGTTTATACTTCACATTTTTATTTGATTTTCATAAAGAACCTTGAAGAATGGCCACAAAAAGTGGTTTTATCTCCATTTTACAAATCCTGAAAAGGAGGCTCAGGAAGGATGATTTTCCAAACTAGCAATCATTTACATAGCAGGGGATTAGAACCTGGGTCTCCTAAACCAATGCTTGCTTAAAGAGACCACATTCTTTCTCCAGAGTGGAAGAGTACAACTCTAAAAAGTGTTTCTGTTTATCTTGGAACAACAAAATTAAACATATTCCTTCAATATCCTAAGATTTTTATTTTTATCTATTGTTAAAGGAGAAGGTACTTAAATTCTTAGCAGTACTCCCAGTGCCAAGAAAGTTTATAGGACTTGATCCAAACGGTAGCTTTAGATAAATGAGGCATTAATATATGAAAATATTTTGTGATTTACTTCGAAAATTATAAAATATTAATACTATAGATATAAGAATAATAATAATAAGTTACTGTGACTACATCAGATATTCAGATATTTTGGTTTACAGAGGTTTTTTTTAGGCGTCCAGGTAAATACATTTTCTAAAGCAAGTAACAGACAACTTAACAAACCACAGGCAAATAGACAAGATGGTTGAAGAATCAAGTTAAGAGATCTGGGCTCAGAAACCCCTTATCTTTGTAATAGAACTCCTTTTATCCCACTAGACACACTACTCATCCTGTGATTCCTTTTGTTGAGATGGACAATTAAAAATTCATTTAAAAATGCTACTTTGTTTGGGATAATATGATTAACTGACGTTTCCAATTCACTCATTCATACAATGAAAATGCCTAGAAAAAGATGCATGAGGAAAAGGAACTGTGTGTATTAAAAAAAATGTTCTGGGGGTGAGGAAGGTATAACCCATTGTGCTTACTGGTCTCAATTATGTGTTTTAAGAAGTAACAAGTTAACCCCAAATCTTATGACCAAAATGACAGTATTGATGCTTTAAGCATCAAGTGCATAAAAGTATAAAGTTAAAATTCTTTGATGGTCTCAGTTTAAAGATACCAATCTTGAAAGAAATGACAAAATGTTATTACCCAAAGTTACTCAGGTAACAATAAAAATCTTCATAAGTCCATGAGAATGAGGTTTAATAATAAATGTATAAATTTTATGATTTTCCTGAAAAACAGAGTGGGTTTACAAGTTAAAATATGTTAGGGCCAAACTAGCAACTATAGATTTCTCTCTTTCTTCTTTTTTTCCCTTTTCTTCCTGACTTTACTTATTTATCTTTTGTAATAGAGACAGCGTCTGGCTGTCACCCAGGCTGGAGTGAAGTGGTATTATCATAGCTCACTGCAGCCTCAAACTCCTGGGCTCAAATGATTCTCCCGCCTTGGCCTCTCAAAGCACTGAGATTACACACATGTCTACAACTACAGATTTCTTTAACAGAATAAATCAAGATTAAATCTAAATTATGAGAGATTTAGTAAATTTCAGCTCTTGGAAAATAACACGATGAGAATAATTTTACTTATACCAAATAGTTACCATCTTAAGGATTTTACTCATTCACTTTAATTCTGTATTCGAAGGAGGGAAATAAATTCTTAAATTCCTATTATTAATCACCTACTTTGCCAGGTACTTCTTACATCACAGTCTGGGAGGTAGATCTTATCTCCTTTGCAGAGAAAAGAAAACTGAAGCTACTTTGAATTCTAGTTTTACCACTTGGTAGTTATTTTGACCCCTGGAGAGTTACTTAATTTCTCTGAGCTTTGATTCTGCTCACTTATAAAGTGAGGCCAGTAATACCTGTCTTCTAGTATTATGAGAGTTAAAAAATGGCACAAGTAAGCTCTCAACAAAAAGTAACTATTAAGCCAGCTTGAGCCCAGGAGTTTGAATCCAGCCTGCCTGGGCAACATAGCCAAGACCTCATTTCTCCTTTTTTTCAAAAGTAGCTATTAATATCATTGTAATTTGCATCTAAAAAGTCATAGGTAATGGAGGAGATTTTTTTTTTTTTTTTTTTTTTGAGACAGAGTCTCACTTTTGTTGTCCAGACTAGAGTGAGTGCCGTGGCGTCAGCCTAGCTCACAGCAACCTCAAACTCCTGGGCTCGAGCGATCCTTCTGCCTCAGCCTCCCGAGTAGCTGGGACTACAGGCATGCGCCACCATGCCCAGCTAATTTTTTTTAAATATATATCAGTTGGCCAATTAATTTCTTTCTATTTATAGTAGAGACAGGGTCTCGCTCTTGCTCAGGCTGGTTTTGAACTCCTGACCTTGAGCTTGAGCAATCCGCCCGCCTCAGCCTCCCAGAGAGCTAGGATTACAGGCGTGAGCCACCACGCCCGGCTAGTGGAGGAGATTTAAGATTCAAAGTTGCTCTTTTGAATCTAAAGCAGTGCTACCCGGTAAGCAGAACTTCCTAAATGACAGATGTTTTATATCTGAGCAGTACAATATGGTAGCTACTAACCATATGTGGTTATTGAGTGTTGAAATGTGGCTAGTGTAACTGAGGAGTTGAATTTCTAATTTTAGTTAATTTAAAGATACACATATGACTCATGTATATGTTGTATAAATATTAAACTTTCAGCCGAGCACAGTGGCTCACGCCTGTAATCCTAGTACTCTGGGAGGCCTAGGCAGGCGGATGCTTTGAGCTCAAGAGTTCGAGACAAGCCTGAGCAAGAGTAAGATCCCATCTCTACTAAAAAAATAGAAAAAATTAGCCGGGCATAGTGGTGCATGCTTGTAGTCTCAGCTACTAGGGAAGTTGAGGCAGGAGGATCACTTGAGCCCAAGAGTTTGAGGTTGTTGTGAGATAGGCTGATGTCATAGCACTCTAACCTGGGCAACAGAGTGAGACTCTGTCTCAAAAAAAAAAACAAAAAAAGAAAAAAATATTAAACTTGTATCCTAAGTACTTTATACATGTGATAGATGGACCTTTATGTAATGTATACTTGAAAAGTGTAAATAACATTTCTGTAAAAATCATTCATAAAAACATTGTGCAATCTTCTCAACCACTCCCAAGAAACGGAACAGAAAATGTAGGGTTGTAAGAGAAAGGGTCAACTGCTGAGAATAAATAGGTTTTCTTATAGTCATTGAACTTGGAGCCTACAAACATAAAAGCTCTTCCTGCTTCTAAACCTGACCAGAAGGAACAGTCAAAAGCCAAATTCCTTGACAAATTACAGAAAATCTCGGGAACTACAAACCCATAGGGAAACCATTGCATCATATAGTGTTTCTCAAATTTGAATATGTAATCTTAAAGAAAAAAAGCTCAACAGACCTAAGAATGTATGTTAGTATCCCAGTTTGAGAAATACTGATTTAGGAAATTATGTCTTATTCTAAGAAAATGACTTTCAATTGCAGGTTATTACTACAAAGATCAGGCCTCTGCCTGGTAAAATGTATATATTGTGATTGTCATCCAAATAAGCCCAAAACACTTGAAAAATTTTTTTTAAACCATGAATCCTGAGACTATATCTGAATGGAACCCTCAAGACTCCAGTGTAAGAAGTACTGCTCTGGCAAACATACTAGAAACTGTATTACTCTGGAGAGAATGTTAGTTACCAACAGGTCATATTTCTAAGTAACCAACAGCACTTAGTTCCCAGTGGAACTTCACTTTATTTATACATACTCCATGGTTTAGCCATATCAACATAAAAATATCTCATAAAAGCTTTTTTTTTTTTTTTTTTTTTTTTTTTTTTTTTTTTTTTTTTTAACAATGCTATGACTGTGCTACTCATAAAAGCTTGACAAGATCTCAGTGTTAGTTCTCTCATCTTAAATATTAGAAAAATGTCATAATCATATATTTGGGGACAACAATACACTTACCTTACTCTTTGACATAGAAAGTGAAGATTCATCTTTATTTTGAGAAATATCTTCCTTTCCTCTTTCAAAACCTGTGAAAAAACATTATCAATCTCAGTATTACTACTTTTGAGCATATATAGTCATTAACATTAAAAAAGTAAATATATAAGTCATACAATTTCAAATATACATTTGAAGTCATACAATTTCAAATATACATTAGTGTAGGAAGACTGTACATACACTTTTAAACTATTACAGCTTAAAGACCTCTAAAGAGTCATATCTAGCATAATCTTTCTTTAGAATTAAGGCTTAGAGACACAATTAAATCTTTCTCTGAATCCACCAACATCAAGCAAAAAATATCTTTTCTGTGTTCCTAGGGTACTGTGCATGAATTCAGCCCTCATAGAGCTTTTATTCTACTGAGATGGTTTTTAATGAAGAATTCTGACAGAACACAACATACTTTTCACACCTCTTGCTAAACTGGAAAATTACAGAATAGGCGATGAAAGAAGATTGGGGAAATAAATCTGGATTGACTTTAAAAAAAAAACCTAATAATGTGCTTACTGTGAGAATTAGGCGAGGATGTATATAAAGCACTTAGCATAATACTCTGCACACATTACACATTCAATTAATGTTGACCCTCTCTACTATCATTGTCTATTACTATACAAATTCTAAAAGTATAAATCTAAAGAGGAGTGCAATGGGACAAACATGCATATATCCCTAGCACCATACAAAACATTTATATAGCACTATGCCAAAAGCAGTTAACAGATTAATATTATAAGGATGCAATTAGAGAAATGCGAATACTGAGACTTGTGTGGTAAGCATAAAAGAACAGTACACATTTTAGTGAGGATTTTTTACTTCTGAGGATAGGTAATATTAACTCTTTCCCATGACTATTTGTTCTGAGCCCAACAGAAACCTATATTTTAAAAAATTAGGTACCATTACTCATAAAAATAACACTTAAAAATCAACTAGTACCAGTGCCTCAAGCATTTCTAATGTATCAATGATAATATCATTTACTCTGTATTTGGTTTATAATAGCTAAAAAAAATTTATTACATTTTCTTAATCTGGATATTTTACTGAATTATTTATGCCGTATGAAAAAAGAATCTTTTTTTCCCCTCTCCAGTACGAAGAAAGATCACTCCAATCCCAATACTAGGAAAAAAACTGTTTCATAAATGCAACATGGAATTTTAAATGAAAACTTATAGAATTTGAAACTTTAGCATAGAGCAAAACCAAAAAGTTACATAATTATTTAAAAATTCTATAATATTTATTCAGAGCAATAAACACTGTAATAAGTAATTCCCAATACTAATGACATAAATCATTCAAAGATCTTCTAAATAAATGTGCAAGAGAACAAATATTTTCTAAAATATATATTATAAATTAAAAAAATCATCTTTTACTTTCACAGGAACAGACTTCAATTTCTCTAGTGCTGTCTTGGTTTTAGCTGAATCTAGATTCATCCATTTACTAGAAAAAATGCCTAGTTCATTGTACTGGTATTCACATATTTTAAAAATAAAACAGTAAATTAAAATGAAATCAGAAGTCAGAAAACACTTTTTTAAAATGCAAAGTCTTAATAAAACTTTCAAATGTTGGAAAACAACATTTATAAGCCTAGATTGTATATTATCTCTCAAACCCAATAAATGAATCCTATTTTTAAAAAATTCTCTATTCCTCAAAACTACAAATCAAATGATTATTTTAAAAGCTGCCCTGATAACTTACAATTTATTTAAAATTATAGAGGATACAGCAAGATGCCTCCTAAAACATCCAAATCTGGTCAAATGCTGTGAGTTTCAACTGAGGGCAAACAAGTAAGTGATCAGCATAAAACACAAAGAACATACAAAAATGTTCAAAAGACTTAAAGTAAAACTATTACCATATTATACACTGAGTTTCCGAGGATAATTCCAATGAAGCAAAGCAAAATGTCACACTAGGAACTCTTTCTTTAGACCTGATAAAACTGGTTTCCTTAAAATATGAAAAATAATCTTTATTTTTAAAAGTTAGTCATGAAAGTATTATTTATTAGAAGCCAAAGGGCTCTGTCAAAATATTTCTTAGGCTTTAATTCATTTCCCACCATGTATGGGAATTCAATATTACTTCAAAATCACTCTTAATTTTAAAAAGTCATATTTATAAACAAAATCCTGAAGTCTGTAACACATTATTGACTACTATCATTAATGAAGAATACAGGGTGTCCCAAAGTCTCCATACAAAGGAAAAAGTATGCAAAATTTTATAATAAATATTTTGTAAATAAAGGTACATTTAGCTACAATTTCCCATTTTCCCTGTGTATGGCGATTTTGGGGACACCCTGTAGTTTCAGATCATGATTTTTCACCAAGTTTGCTTGTTAGTGATTTGGGGTAGTAAATTCTCTTCCAACTATCCTTCTCACTCCCACAATGAAATAGAAACCCACATCCCCATCAGAATGACTAACACTAAAAGTACTAATACCATCCAAGCATAGTTGAGGATGTGGAGCAACTGGAACTCTGTTCACTACTGGTGAGGGTACAAAGAGGCATAACCACTTTGGAAAATAATTTGACAGTGTTCCCTAAAGCTAAATGTATGCATATTCTAAAATACAGGAATTCTAATCCTAGATACACACAACAAAAATGAGTGTGTATGTCCATCAAAAGAGAGGTACAAGAATGTTCACAGCAGATTTATAATAGCCAAAATCTGGAATCCATTCAAATGACTATTAATAGTAGAATAACTGAACACCTTACTGTCCGTTCATACAATGGAATATTATACAGCAATGAAAATGAACAGCCATAATATTTAGTGAAAGAAGCCACCTTTCCTCATTAAGGAAAAAAAAAGTACATACCATATGATTAATCTGTAGTATTAGAGTTTGAAACTGTGGTTTACCTTTGTTGAAGGAAGTATTGACTGGAAGGGGCCTACGGGCAATTAAAAATTCAAAAAGCTGTATACTTAACTATATATTGTTATACCTCATTAAAAAAAATGAACCATACACCCTTCCCTATTCATTCAGTTTATTAGACATCTCCTGCTTTGGCATCCTTTCCCACCTAGTCTATATCACTTTTAACTTACTTTGTACTTGGCTAATTCTGATTCAGTTATCAACAATAATGATAATTTTGATAATTGACACAATAATATTAATAAAAACAACCAATACCCATTTGTGGGAACCCCTGTGAGTATAAGGCACTATGCTAGATGCTTTACTTATTTTTTTCTAATCTTTAAAACACCACTGCACACACAAAAAAGTGACCTTATTTTTATAGCTGAAAACACTTAAGGCTCACAGAAATAAACTAAGCTAGCTAATGTCAGTAAGTGACAGTATCAGAGATTATTCAAATTTAGGTTTATTTATGCTGTTTCTGTGATGCCATGGTGCCTCTCCAGACCCGAGGCTACCTCTCTGGGGAGCCCTTGCTTTGATCGTGTAGCCCTAGTTAGCTATTCCCTTCTCTGAGACACATAATACTTAACACATACTTGGACTCCATTTTTACTTCTAAAGATTTTTTAAACATGTGAAATACCGCACGTCTTCAGAAAAATGCATAAAGCATAAATGTATAATTTAACAAATACAGGAAATATTTACATAACCACAACCCAAATCAAGAAATAGAGAATTGCTAACATCCCATAAGATACCCCTCAATGCGAGTCTTAATTACAATCCACTCCCTTTCTCTTCAAAAGTAACTATTTTGATGTTTGCAGTGATTATTTACTAGCATGCCAAAGCAGGCATTTCATTCATTTTCACTGCTGATTAGAATCCCATTGCAGGACTATATCATTATTTGCCCATTCTACCATTAATAAACATTTGGGTTGCTCCCAGTTTTCCTCTCCTATGAACAATGGTGCTCTGAATATTTTTGGAAATATAGCATGACAGATATATCCATGAGCTTCTCTAAGGTTTAAATCTAGAGAAAGAATTCCTGAGTCATAGAATATATTTATCTTTAGCTTTAATGATATCAAATTAAGTACATAAAAGTTCTCTCTCCGTATCGATGGTAACATTGGTATTGATAAGTTTTAATATATTTGCCAATCTGGTGAGGTGTATTAGTTTATTAACGAGGTTTTACTTTGCAGGTCCCTAATTACTGATGATGTTGAGCACTTTCCCATGTTAACTGGCTATCTTAATTTCCTCTTTGTTAAGAACCTCTTCAGATCTTTTGTGCATTTTAAAAAACTGGTTGTCTACCTTTTTCTTACTGATTTATGAAAGAATTCTTGATATATTCTAGACACCAGTCCTTTGCTATTTGTGTTTATTGCAAATATCTCCCTACTATATAGCTTGTCTTTTTATAGGCTGTATGGTTTCTTTGGTGAACAGCTCCTAACTTTAACATAGTCAAACTTAGCAATCTCTTTCCTTATTGTTTAATGCTTTGAGGTTTAAGAAATTCTTTACTAAATCTGTGGTCATAAAGACATTTTCCAAGAATGCAGTTTTGCCTTTTGCATTTAGGTCTATAATGCACTGAACTGATATTTGAGAATGGTGTGATGTAGAGGTACAATTTCACTTTTTTCCATTTAAATACTGATTAAACCATTAAAAAGAATATCTTTTAACCATGGGTTTGTAGTCATACTTCCTTTCATGTCAAATGTTCATATATGTGTAGTAGGTTTGTTTCTGGGCTTGCTATTCTGTTCCATTCATCTAGAACCTTAAGTACAATAATGGTGACTGGTGGCATGCTTGTCTTGTTCCCAACTTCAAAGGAGAACTATGAACATTTCACCATTAAGTATAATGTTTGATGCAGGATTTAAGTACAGATACTGATATTTAAGAAAACTCACTCCTTCTAGTTTAAGTTGCCAAAATGAATTTGAATTGTATCACAAACTTTCCTGTCTATTGAGATAATCATACTTTTTTTCTGCTTTTAATCTGTTAACATTGGATTAACAATCTCCAATGTTAATTCTGCATTCTTAGATTTTCACCTGA